CACATATTTGTATTCAGTAAAGTCTCACGTGTAAGACAGTACCCCCTATGTACAGGTTTTATGGCATTTTGGGAAGTTACAGGGTCAAATATAGCACATTACATTTGAAATTGAAATTCGCCAGATTGGTTACGTTGCCTTTGAGACTGTATAGTAGCCCGGGAATGAAATTTACACCCATAATGGCATACCATTTGCAATAGTAGACAACCCAAGGTATTGCAAATGGGGTATGTTTAGTCTTTTTAGTAGCCACTTAGTCACAAACACTGGCCAAAGTTAGCGTTAGTATTTGTTTGTGTGTGAAAAATGCAAAAAACGCCAATTTTGGCCACTGTTTGTGACTAAGTGGCTACTAAAAAAGACTGGACATAACCTGTTTGCAATATCTTGGGTTGTCTACTATTGCAAATGGTATGCCATCATAGGGGTAATTTTCATTCTTGGGCTACCATAGGGTCTCAAAGGCAACGTAACCAATCTGGCGAATTTTAATGTGAAAAAATGAAACGCAAGCCTTATATTTGACGCTGTAACTTTTGAAAACACCATAAAACCTGTACATGAGGGGTACTGTTGTACTCGGGAGACTTCGCTGAACACAAATATTTGTGTTTCAAAACAGTAAAAAGTATCACAGCAATAATATTGTCCGTGTAATGCTGTTTGTGCGTGAAAAATGCAAAAAACTTCACTTTTACTGGCGATATCATCGTTGTAATAAATTTTACTGTTTTGAAACACTAATATTTGTGTTCAGCGAAGTCTCCCGAGTAGAACAGTACCCCCCATGTACAGGTTTTATGGTGTCTTGGAAAGTTATAGGGTTAAATATAGTGCTAACAAATTAAATTCCCTTTACTTTCGGCATGGGTTGTCAGGCAGGTCCCGCTAATTGTAATTAATTAAGATACCTAATTATGTAAAAATATTACATAAATATATATGTAGAATTAATATATGTATATATATACGTATGTGTATATATATATATGTATATATCTATATAATTTTTTTAAAATATTTTTAATTTATATATAGGTATATATATAGTGATATATATGTATATATTTATGTATATAGATATATATATTATTTCGTTCTACGTGTATTTTGATATATATATATATATATATATATATATATATATATTAATTTCTCAATACAGTTAGAACAAAATAACACACATCTATATATTTTTTAATTATTTATTTTTAATTATTTTTGTAATTTTATTTTTTAACGTATTTACATTTTAATTTTTTTTATAATATATATAAATATATATATAACAATAATTATATATATATTTAATCAGTATCAGTGTACGTGTAATTTGATATTAATATATATATATAATTATATATCTATTAATAGTAAAATACACCTAGACGGTGTACATGTGTGTATGTATATGTGTGTATATATACTTAGATCATATATATATAATATATATATATGATCTAAGTATATATTATTTATTTTTTTACACTATTTATTTATTTTACTTTTATTTTCAGCCAGCAGGGGGACCACCTGTCATTACAGGCAGCCCCCCTGCTGGCAATGCAGGAGGCAGCTACCCCCGGCCATGTGATTGTGGGGTCCTCGCAAGGACCCCACTCTCACATGGCCGGGGGGCTTCGAGGAGGACGGACGTGCCGCGGGGGGCTCCCTGGGAGTACCCCCCACCGCGATCGCCGGCGTGGGATTGCCGGCGACCGGGTAAGTACCGAAAGACCGGAGGGCGTACTATAATAGGGCGTAATAGTACGCCCTCCGGTCTGAAGGGGTTAAAGAGATTCTATAGTGCCAGGAAAACAAACCCCCCCCACCTCGCAACCCCATCCCACCCCCTACACAGCTGAAGGGGTAAAACCCCTTCAGTCACTTACCTGAATCCAGCCCTGATGTCCCTCGGGTGCTGGGTCAGACTCCACCCATGCTCCTCCCCCGCCATCAGCCAGCGTGGAGACCTAATGCACATCCGTGGCAATGGCCGCACTCACATTAGGATTTCATTATAGGAAAGCATTATTCAATGCTTTCCTATGGGTACAAATCTGATGCTGGAGGTCCTCATACATAGCGTGAGGATGTCCAGCGTTAGATAATGGACCAAAGGTCCGTTTCAATTCCGGAAGTCCCTCTGGTTGGCCACAAGAGAAGGAGTTAATCCTTCTTAGAAACTTCACTGATTACCACTTGCAGGGTTAAGGGACATGAGACTTTGCACCCAGACCACTTCAATGAGCTGAAGTGGTCCTGGTGCCTACAGTGTCCCTTTAAAACATTTGGGTGGTAGAATTACCGCAGTATCTGCTGTTACATCTACATGTTGCTAATATATATCTTGACAAAAACAACATACACATACTAATTGTATTTAAGCAAGACAAAATTAGCAAACATTTGTGAAGCTTTAGCGCTGTAATAAAGTTCTTCTAATATTTGTAACAATTCAGTTTCCAGCCCCTGCTCCCCAATACATGTTTGTGTGGATTAATCGCTGCTGTACAGCATGTTTTTTTAACATTTAAACACTGATTTTGTTGGAGGGACTAATAAATCTAAGCTTAATTTTATCAATCATTTACGTTTTCATTTGTGTTAGTGGTTGTGTAGGCAGAGCCCCAATGCACAGCTTTCCCCAGGGCCTATAATGCTGTTAAGACAGCCCTCTGGACTATGTTTTATATATGTACAGATTGTGCCATATTTTCACTTATTAGATTTTCGACTTGCGTTTTGTTTTTGCCACTGAAAATGTACTTATTTTCCTTGCTTATTTGTGTTTATTATACGTTAAGCGCAGCTTTTCTTATATATATATTTATTCTATTTGAGTTAGGCTGACCTGCTTCTCCCCTCCCTCTCTCCCCATAATTTGTGTTTTTTTCTCTTTTTGTATATTGGCTTTTTTCATGTACGTATACAGCTCTTTGCCTACTTAGTATAGAATAGAAGATGAAGTTTTTTGCCCAACATCATAAACCCCAACGTCACATGAATAGAGACTCTGGTGGGTTGATTAAAAGGAGGTAGATAAGTTATGCGAATGGCTTCACTGGTGTCCCTTAGTAGCGGCGCACCACCCGAAACAGGTGAGCCTGGCATGAATGCAATCAACCAGGCCAGCCTATGGATTGTTACAGGGTCCTAGTGCCACTAGCTTAGCTCAATCACTTCTAATGATGCTGCACTTTTGAGAACAGAACTCTGGTTTCCCTAAACACCGAAGAACAAAATTGGGATGTGGGACAGGACCGAAAAATCTGGTCTATCTCGCCAAAATCCAAAGGGTTGTGAGGCCTTCAACATGGGCTATTGGAGTCACAGACAGAATATTGTCAGTTCCTAATCAGGCAAGTCATATTTGTTATTGCAAGCAAGTTATGCGCATCAATAAAAGTTGTTGCTGATGCCTTACCCCAGTTAATATGTTGTCAGTCTCGTTCTTTGGGTGAGCCTGTGTGCATTATGGCCCTAATTTAATATTCTTGGTTAAATCTTTTAAAATATTTTTTCAAAAATATTAAAATAACAAAAAATATATCACATTAAAAAAAATGCCGATGTATCAAAATATTATAAAATCTAAACATTGGTAATAATAGCAAATCAAAATATTACAAAAATCTAATTATTTTTTAATAATAGCATATCATTTTAAACATTTATCCAAAAATTTGAAATATTTTGGACAGCATTCCAAGCAATATTAAATCGAAGCCTGTGTTGCTTACGTTTATTTATATTTTTATATGTATTTTTTATTTGTGGGTCAGCAGTAAAGACTTGTTTATTACAACAGTAAAACCGTTTTATAATTCCTGGAAACTGGGCGAGATTTTCAAGTTATGATTTTTAAGGTTACAAGTATATTAAACAGACTAATTTCATCCTAAACTATTTCATCCCTTTCACAAGACACACTATAAAACAGATTGCATACAAAATACATAATCCAGCGCAGTAGCTCTTTCACTAAACAATGATTTCAGATCTCATAGATTGTAATAATTTTACTTAAAAACACCTCACCTAGGCAAAACATAATGGGGGTTTAGTTACATTATATGATCATATATTGCATAAGCCTGCCACAACATCAATGTATTATGCAATATATGATCATATAATGTAACTAAACCCCCATTATTTTTTGCCTTCTGTTTCCGTGAAACTTTAAATCATTGTTTAGTGAATAAGCGAGTGAGCTGGATTGTGTATTTTGTATGTTGTACAGATTGGCCCCAGCAGCACCCTATAATGTATGCATGTTCAGGTGAGTGCAGCCCTCTTGGTTTCATTTATAATACAGATTGCAAACATGAGGTACTCAAAGACTTCCTCTGAGTCTTACACTAGAAGAAATATTAGGTAACATGAACTGGATGGGACATACTTGTATGTTAGGGAGGGTAGCTTGATTGGTAGAAAGGGGCAGTGTTATAAAGAGATTTGTAAGTGAAGACCAACATTGTAAATAGAACTTTATATGTTACGGGAAACCAATGTAAGGTCGAAAAGTGGGGCGATGCGTGAGAGGTGCAGGAGCACAGGAAGATGAGTCTGGCAGCAGCGTTCTTTATAGTCTGGAGCGGGTCAAGATATGAGTGTGTAAGACCAGTGAGAAGCAGATTGCAGTAGCTGGGAATTAATGGGGAATTATAGCGTCGTGGACTAGCACCATAGCCACCTTAGGTGTTACGTAGAGGCAGTTGCGAGCTTTGTTGTTGAGATGGAAGCAACAGGATTTAAAGAGTGACTGGATGGTGGTGGCGGCGGAGGAGAAATTGGAATCAAAGAGAACATCAATGCAGTGAGTCTGTGAGGTAGAGCTGATGGTAGCGCCCATGACTTGGTGGAAAACAGACAAAGGAATAGTAGTGCTTGAAGGAGGAGATACGAGACGTTTTGTTCTGGAGACATTGAATTTATTTGAAATTTAATTCGAATAAACAATAATTCACACTTTGGCGAGTAACCCTGTTGGTCTCCTGAGTAATGATTAAACAAGGTACGTTCAAGCCTTTGATAGGTACAAAGTGGCTGATATCACAGTTTTACTAGGTTCGGCTCATGTTTACAAAGGGTGCGTAAGAACACATTGGGACAAGCATTGGCTCTACAATGATTTGTCCATCTGAATCATTGTTAACACTTTTGATGCCAAAATGTTTAACAGCAATTTGGCATGGCCAATACCGACTAACACAAGTATTTCAAACACATAATGAGTAAAATAAGTTCTGTAATGTGATTTTTAACGGCAGAGGAGGTTTGGAGTACGGGTGATTACGGTGCCACAGTGGTATTGTCCATAAATTATCTGTTTAATGTAGTGCTAAGGTAGTATAATAAAAAGTTTCTTATTTATACAGTTTTAACTCTATGCTATTTAGCATTTAAAATCGCAACACCATTAAACATGTATTCCTGACCCTATTGTGTTAAAAGCACTATCTACCCCCCGTGGGCCCCTTTGCCTCCCTAAAGATAGTAAAATGTTATTTGTATTTAAGTCTGAAGCTGCTGCCTGTGAACTTCCTCTGACCTCTGACATCATCAGAAGTGGTGGCCTGAGCCAATCACAATGCTTCCCCATAGGATTGGCTGAGACTGACAAGGAGGCAGATCAGGGGCAGAGCCAGCACAATTTAAACACAGCCCTAGCCAATCAGCATCTCCTCATAGAGGTGAATTGAATCGATGAATCTCTATAAGGAAAGTTCAGTGTCTGCATGCAGAGGGAGGAGATACTGAATGTTTGGATGCATTTTAGGCAGCCATGACCCAGGAAGGATCTCTAACAACCATCTGAGGAGTGGCCAGTGAAGATTGTAACGGATCGACGGGCACCCCGACTGGGTACCTCCGTTGAAGGATGCTCCTAGCTCTTCCTGAGGGTTTCCAGCACTCCAGCAGACACCATAACCACAATAGACTTCTTCAGAGAGCAAAACAGGAACAAGCTCTTACAAGAGCTTGGCAGTGAATATAGCAAGAGAGTATGCAGAGCATAGCAATCCCTTGTAGCAGATTCCCCCAATAAGAGGGTGAAGTAGAACTGAAGTTTTTAATCCAACACCATTTTACAAACATAGTACTTGAGCAGATTCCCCCAAATTGAGGGTGAAATAGAACTGAAGTTTTTAATCCAACACCATTTTACAAACATAGTACTGCCCACAGGGTTTTGAAGAACAACCAATCAATACATTACAACACAACTAAACACTCCCATTCATACCAGCAGAAATCCTCCCCTCTACCTGTGATACAATTATCTCAACACAATAGACTAACAATTATCACAGGCAGGAAAATACAGTTTTGCACAATATTCATAACTCCAAAAGTATACATCACATTCACATAAAACTTACATTTTCAGAATCAGCATACTCCAAATACAAACATACTCAAAAATCTATTCCTTCCATTGGTTTAAAAGTTAGGTCGAAGCCCTAGGTGACCACTGAAGCATGGTTTTCCTGCCAAAACAAGTTCCACAGAGTCCTCTATCCTGGAGATAATTGGCTTAACTGGGTGTGCTAAGCCAACTATCTCCAGGTACAGAAAATGTCTCTATTCACAACAACAGCAAAAATACACAAAAATTCATAATTCCTATCATAATGAACAGAACCCCCACATTCAACCTATCCCCAGACGGCTTGGATCTGAGCGTTCAATATATCCAAACAGCGCTCAGATCTCACAAACACAGTCAAATCGCCATGGGGTTTAAGTCTAGCATGGGCTGATGAGAGGGTCCAGACTCCAGAGTCACAGGGCAGGAGGGTGGCAATCAGTCTTCTCCAATGCCCAGTGGCGAGGCTGGTTCCGCCACAAAGTTATCACTAGGCTGTAATGTAAACACTGCATTTTCTCTGAAAAGACAGTGTTTACAGCAAAAAGCCTGAAGGTAATGATTCTACTCACCAGAACAAATTCATAAGCTGTAGTTGTTCTAGAAACATAGAAACATAGTTCTGGTGACTATAGTCACGTTAGGCCAGATTCACACCACATTTGCAGTAGTGTGTACATGAGTGCATGTCTGTGTGTATGTTGTAAAGGAGCTCCTGTACTCGGATCGAGAACCTCCACCAGGTTCGCTTCCTGTACTCTGATCGAGAACCTCCACCAGGTTCGCTTCCTGTACTCTGATCGAGAACCTCCACCAGGTTCGCTTCCTATCTGCCACAGGGGACTCTGGAGCGCTTCCGACCCAGTTGCCGAAGCTTGACTTGGGTCTCTCTGGAACACTTCCACCCGACCAGGCTGCAACACCCTTTTTCCAAGCAGGTATCATCACCTTTGCCTCGTTAGGTCCTTTCCCAGGCAAGTATCCACATCTTTGCCTGTACTGTGATAAGCTCTTTTCTTTGCAAACGTGTGGCACTCAGGCCTAGCTCTCTTTTGACTTGTCCCCAGGCTAAAGGGATCATGCAGCCAGCAAACAGGTTCAAAGACTCTGTTACCAGGATCCCTAAAAATCCATGATAGATGAGGTGGATACAACACAAGTGAATATCTAGGTAGAAAGCTGCCACTCAATGGCCCACTCCCAGAAAGACCTTGATGCAAGTAGAGTGAAAGATTGTCAAAATTTGAGTAGATACTCAAAAATACATTAGAGGGTGCTAAATACCCAATTAAAATTGCATAATTACCAATGAGGAAGCTATGTATTTCAGCCAAACTCGAGACCAAACACATAAAGAGAAAAAAAGGGGTTATAACAAAATAATGTTTAGCACATATTTTGTGATATGGCCAAACTGTATTTTGTCTCTAAGAGTTTAGAGACTCAGCAGGTAAAATTAAAAAGTGTGGGGAGGATGAGATGGACCACATACAAGCAGCATTCCAATCTCAATTTTTGGTGCCCTGGCTTACTATACAGCCTGAGAATATATATACTGGCCAAGACCCTGTCTGTCAACCTGAATCTAGCAAAAAGGAGCAGGATGGAGTCTGTACACTGCACTCATTGCTAGAGAGAAGAGCAGCTGGAGGATATGAATTATTCATATTAGGGTGTAAGCTAGCATGAGAAACTTGCTTGTGTGGGAATTGTATAAATTAACGTGAGAGAGCGAGACCGTGAGTGTAAATTACTGTTTTGTAAAGGTAGGTATCATGCTTGAGAAAATTACTAATTAGGGATCATTGGGAGTTGCTAATTAAATGTGTGTGAGAGTGTGGCTAGTTTGATATGAGTATAAGGCTAATATGAATGTGGCTCGTTAGATATGAATATACAGCTAATGTGAGTGTGGCTAGTTAGATACGAGTACAGTTTTGAAAAAGCTATTGGATAGGTGAAACGCGTTGTGTATCTTACTATTTTATATTGTTTTTATTGTTTTATAAACTAGTAAATCTGATAAAGTACCTAATATTTTAAACTTTATTGGACTACACCCTGATTTTTTGTGGGAAAATACCACCTGGACGCTGTGTAGTGAGCAATACCCTCATTTGTTCCATAAGTGAACGACAAGCCAGTGAGCCCATACGGCAGGGCTGATATCATCCTGACCTTCTGTATCCAGCTGAAGATGCCACATAACCTTAGGTAGGGATTATACCGTCCAGGTGCAACCTGATAGAACTATGCTAGCTCTACAAACTGTGAGTGCAAATCCTTTTTTCTTATTTTCAATTGTCACATGATAAACTACACTATATCTTTCTATATTTTCTGTATCCACATATTCTACTACTTCTGGAAACACTTCTACCTCAAGAAATACATCAAAGCACTGCCCCCTCTTCTTACCGGTTTGTACATTTTATTGGACCTGATTGAGAGACTCTGGTTTGGGTGCTGTGGCTGCCAACCTGTTTAAATAGAGCTTGAGACCAAGCTCATATATATTCCGAGACATGAGTATAAGGCTAATGTGAGTATGGCTCGTTAGATAGGAGTATAAGACTTATGTGAGTGTGGCCAATTAGATACGAATATAAGGCTATGTGAGTGCGGCTAGCTAGATAGAATTATAAGGCTAATGTGAGTGTTGCTAGTCAGATCTGAGTATGAGGCTAATGTGTGTGAGGTTGAGGCTAGTCAGATATGAGTATGAGGCTAATGTGTGTGAGGTTGAGGCTAGTTAGATATGCACCTGAGGCAAATTACAGCTGTATGAGAGCACGGCTAGTTAAAGGGACACTTCCGACACCAAAACAACTTAAGCTAAATTAGGTTGTTATGGTACCAGGAGGACCCCGGAGGCCCTCTTACCTCAATGATTTAACCCCATAGTGCCACCAATCTCAGCCAATCAGTGACTCCCCATTTACAGAACTGGCTTGGCCAGAAACGTACCTTTTCCAATCCAGTTCTATGGATGGGGAATCATTGATATGAGTTCATCAGCTGACCGCTCTCATATAATCAGCGCAGCCCCTGCCCTACGGTAATCCGCTCTTCCTCAAAGGAAAATTTCAGAAGCCGGATGCCGCCAGGGGAATGCCGAGTTTGCTGCAGGAGTAAACTTTGGGGTTAAGTCGTTCGAGAACGGTTAACCCCTTGAGGTAAGAGTGCCTCCGGGAGCCTCCAGGCACCTTGAGTGTCCCTTTTAATATGTTAATTAAAATAGTGTGCTAGAGTGCAACTAGTTAGTTATGTATATGTGGCTAACTAAAGGTGCATAAGTGTGGGTAGTTAGATGCATATGCGTAATAATTCTAGGTGTGTAAGCGTGTAGCTAGTTAAACATATATGGCCAATTAAAGGTATGTGTAAGAGCAGGGCTAATTAGACATACATATGCTATAAACCTAGTTAAATATGCATGTGTGGCTAATTAAATGTTTGAAAGTAGCTGGATATATGTATGTGGCAAATTATAGGAACACTATAACGTTAGATATAAAAACCTGTATTGTAGTGTTCCTGTCCCTAGTACTATTAGTCCCCCATCCTTGGCATAGAAAGGGTTAAAAATACTTTAGTATTACTATTATTTTATTATTTATATAGCGCCATTAGATTCCGTAGCGTAGTACTTACCTTGTTTCCAGCACTGAGTCTCTCTCTGCGCTTCCTACCTCTCCACTCCAGGCGACGTAATGGAGGAGGCAGGGCCTCTACGTTAGGCCAATAAAATGGTCCTCAAAGAGTAGCTAATGCCGCGCATGCAAACTTTCTCATAAAAAACTAATATTTTCGAAGGGGCATCTGGGTCACGTGACAGAGTTTTACCACAGATGCACCTCTATTGGCTGTTATACTGACAGCCACTAGAGGTGGACTTAACCTCCACATGAAAAGCGAAAATAAAATAATAATAATAAAATAAAAAGCCTTGGGAGTGCTATATGACTCCCATATTATTATGTGTTATAAACCTCACTCATGTCACCACCTACCATGCTGTGACTGGGCGCATACCTAAGTAATAAAAAACTAGAGACTGGGCAGCCATTGTGGACACTATCATCTTCACATTATTAAAGGGACACTATAGTCACCAGAACAACTACAGCTTATTGTATTTGTTCTGGTGAGTATAAACATTACCTTCAGGCTTTTTGCAGTAAACACTGTTTTTCAGAGAAAATGCAGTGTTTAAATTACAGCCTAGGGATAACTTAACTGGCCACTCCTCAGATGGCTACTAGAGGTGCTTCCTGGGGCAGTGCTGCACAGTGAGACTGACATTCAGTGTCTCCACCCTCTGCTTAGAGAAACTGAACTTTCTTCATAGAGATGCATTAATTCAATGCAGCTCTATGTATCAGCACATACATAATTGGGCATCCCTTCCAGATTGCTGTACACTTGCACTGCCCTAGTTACCCAATACACTGGAATCCTTGAGGTCATAATTTTCAGTAAATTATCTAATTTAAAAAAAAAAAAAAAGTTTTTAGAAAAAATTTCACTATATGTTTCACAGAAATGACAGTTTCCCTTTAAATTTTCCACCATTGCCTCCTTACATGATGATTTTCATGAAAATATGTTCGATCAGGTAGCTATATATAATTTTTATTCACTTCCAGTGAAATCACAGCAGCCGCTTCGCTTTCTGCCGGATCAACATAATTGATGATCTCTGTCCAATACAATTCTTATACCACTGAAGCATTGGAGACATAAGGTCCATGCTTGGAAATTGCTGCGATCCGCCAATCCACTATTCATTTATTTATAAAATATTTTACCAGGAAGGATACAATATAATTTTCAAGTATGTCCTGGGTCCACAAATGTTGCATTGAATCCAGTGCATCCCTATGCAAATACTAGTGGAATTCAGGTTGATCGTGAATATAAATGATTTCATTTTTTTCAGATTTTTAATTAAAAAAGTGGGGGGCTGAATTTAAAGATGTGTTTAATGTTAGGAGTGTTACTTAAAGTTGAAATATTTAAATGTGCTCCTATACTGCCCTCTTGTGGCTGAAAAATGGAGAACACCAGAACACAATGTAAGAGAACATGGGACTAGTCTCAACATTAACGGAAGAACTGAAAAGCTATACATGTTTCCTATACGTAGTGCGACCAGTCTGGTAAGTGGTAAAGTTTCCCACTGTGATGGCAGCAGTGAGCTAAAAGAGAGCACTTCATTTAGGGCAAGTTATGAAGTTCTTGTCTGTTCTTCGGATTTGCTTAAAGGGAAACTATAGTGCAAGGAAAATTTTGCTGGCACTATAGCTTCCCCCTCTGTCAAAGCCCCCTGTGGTGCAGAAAGGGGAGACCTAACGCGCATGCACAGCAGAAAGGGGAGACCTAATACGCAAGCGCGTGCACGCTCACATTAAGATTTCCCCAAAGGAAAGCATTATTCAATGCTTTCCTATGGGGATTCCGGTAATGCAGGAAGTCCTCATGCATAGCGTGAGGACGTCCAGCATTGTTCAGGCGACCAAAAGTGCCTATCCACCTGGAAGTCCCTCTAGTAGATGTCTGGTAGACATCCACTAGAGGAGGAGTTAACCCCAGTAGGTAATTATTGCCGTTTATAAAAACTGCAATAATTACATGCTCATGGTTAAGAGTGATGGAAGTTTGCACCCAGACCACTTCAATGAGCTGAAGTGGTCTGTGTGTCTACATTGTCCCTTTAAATTCATATTCTGGCTTATTCACATATAAAAGGACTTCTATGTGGACAATCACCATAGAGTAAAATTTATTGGTAAACATAAATTAAATTTTTACTCTTTTTATCAGCACTCACACAAACAGTACACAAACAAAACAGTGGGGGATAAGACACTCCTTAATTAATTAATTGTGGCCGAAAATGAAAAAGGATTCCCCCAAATCTCATCTATTCACAAATATATAAATCACTATATTCCTTTCATATACTTTTTCATAATTAGCAGTCATCTCTTTATCGACATAATCAGTTGACATCAGACATAGGACTCAAACCTCTGACAGTGAATCATTAACAGGGTAATTCATTTACTGGCTTGGAAACTTCGATTTCCTCTGTTTTCACCAGGGACATAGAGTGTTGACCTGTTCAAGGTTCCTCATTGTAGCCAATTACTTTACTGTCGCAAGTCTACTGAGCTTCTGACAGCTCTGCTTTACAGGATTCGTAGAGGGGATTGTGACATAATTGTTACAGTTAGAGGTTTGCAGAGCCCCCAATATACTCAGTCATGGAAAAATCAAACTCATCCTCAGAGTTGAACACTGCGACCCAAAAAAGATTTGTCGGGGATCTTGAGAGAAGAAGAATGTTTCAGTATCTGGATCCCTGTATCCTCTTGAACGTGACCTGTTTCCTTAAGTCTTCAAAGGGCCGGGATGTACCCATCAGCACTGGATGTTGGTAGGTGTCGTTGTCTGGCTGGCTTTAGCCCAATAACCTGCTGTATTCTGACAGTGCGGATGACTTTTTAACTCCATCCCAGATCCGAGCTGCATAGTGGAACCTGGAAAAGATCAGTATTGTAAGAAATAAATCCAACAGCCTGAGGTGTAGACCTGACAGTGAGGGACGGTGACAGTGAGGGACGGTGACAGTGAGGGACGGTGACAGTGAGGGGCCGTGACAGTGAGGGGCCGTGACAGTGAGGGGCCGTGACAGTGAGGGGCCGTGACAGTGAGGGACGGTGACAGTGAGGCAACAGTGACAGTGAGGCAACAGTGACAGTGAGGCAACAGTGACAGTGAGGCAACAGTGACAGTGAGGCAACAGTGACAGTGAGGACCATGACAGCGAGGGACGGTGACAGTGAGGCAACAGTGACAGTGAGGGGCAGTGACAGGGAGGGAAAGTGACAGGGAGGGAAAGTGACAGGGAGGGGCGATGACAGTGAGGGGCAGTGACAGTGAGGGGTGATGACAGTGAGGGGCGATGACAGTGAGGGGCGATGACAGTGAGGGGCGATGACAGTGAGGGACGGTGACCGTGAGGCAACAGTGACAGTGAGGGACGGTGACAGTGAAGGATGGTGATAGTGAGGACCGTGACAGTGAGGACCAGTGACAGTGAGGGACAGTGACAGTGAGGGACAGTGACAGTGAGGACCGTGACAGTGAGGGACAGTGACAGTGAGGACCATGGCAGTGAGGGATGGTGACAGTGAGGGACGGTGACAGCGAGGAGCCGTGATAGTGAGGGATGGTGACAGTGAGGGGCCGTGACAGTGAGGCAACAGAAAAGGGAAAGCCAGATGGAAAAAAATGTCCATTAAAGAATTCATATTATTGTGCACTTTGAGGGACGGTGACAGTGAGGCAACAGTGACAGTGAGGCAACAGTGACAGTGAGGCAACAGTGACAGTGAGGCAACAGTGACAGTGAGGACCATGACAGCGAGGGTTCGTGACAGCGAGGGACGGTGACAGTGAGGCAACAGTGACAGTGAGGGGCAGTGACAGGGAGGGAAAGTGACAGGGAGGGAAAGTGACAGGGAGGGGCGATGACAGTGAGGGGCAGTGACAGTGAGGGGTGATGACAGTGAGGGACAGTGACAGTGAGGGACAGTGACAGTGAGGACCGTGACAGTGACAGTGAGGGACGGTGACAGTGAAGGATGGTGATAGTGAGGACCGTGACAGTGAGGACCAGTGACAGTGAGGGACAGTGACAGTGAGGGACAGTGACAGTGAGGACCATGACAGTGAGGACCATGGCAGTGAGGGATGGTGACAGCGAGGGACGGTGACAGTGAGGGGCCGTGATAGTGAGGGATGGTGACAGTGAGGGGCCGTGACAGTGAGGCAACAGAAAAGGGAAAGCCAGATGGAAAAAAATGTCCATTAAAGAATTCATATTATTGTGCACTTCTATGGCCTAAGTAATTTATATTCCCACTATAAGCACAGGTACATCACTCCAATTAAAATTGGAGAGTTTATTTACTAAGGTGAGAATTCAAAGTGAATTTCAAATTTACGGTCAAAATATCTGAAATGGAAATAAAAATCTCTAAGCCAGCTATGCTTTTAGTCCAGATAGTGTCCTTAAATTTGGCCTTGGACCACTTTCCAATTCCAATTTATTGCTACAAGCCTGCTCCACTATGACTTATCACAGACTATATTTTAATGTTGATATCACACAACACCAGTTCTTTATTTTCTATCACATGTCACACAGAACAAGACGGATTCCCACCAGTTTTTCTCCGTCAGGATAGTATGAGAGAGCTGGGGTCGTGACATTGATGTGATTTGGCTCCGCAGTCGGCTGATCATGGCATGGAAGCTGGGATGTCCTTTGTAACCAGGAAGCAGGGAGAAGAGTGGAGTCCCTCCTGAGCCTGAAAATAATGAATAAGGTTTGCATTTTAAAACCACAAACAGATTCTCTATAGGTATTTTGACTCGATTAGAAAACAGAGCAGAAAAACACGCTAAATTTAGCAGGCCATATGTTTGTGAATTGCATTTCCCATATTGCTTACTTGGGCCTCGATTTAACATTTCTGGATGATCTTTTCAAATAATCCCAATTAGAAAAATGTTTACAATGTACTTATTTACAGAAGTCACCATCAAAGTCTATGGGACTTTTGTAAACAAATCATTTGGAATGATTTTCTTACAGATTTTGATCCAGAAATATTAAATTGAGGCCTTAGTTATAAAAAAGTGTGAGATGCCAAGATGATAAGAGATAATCAATAGATCCCTTATTCTCAAAGTCAGCTGCACCTCACTCACTAGGACCAGGAGAAGAAGAAACGTGAAGCTATGTTTAGTGGTTGTCGCAAAATATAAGCAAAACTGCGAGTATTATTATGATTAAATATATATCACAATTTCTTTTTTGTAACATGTAACATTCTCAGACAGTATGATACTGGACTGTTTGGCAGGAATTGCTCACTAGGAGGGAACCTGCCCTCTTTGCACTGATTAACGCAGCTCTATATTAGAGCTGTCCTGTTTCAGCCCTATATCTGCTGGGATTCATCAACTCTCACCAAGGAAAAAGTGAATTGTAGTTGAACAGTTCCAGGACCATAGCTGGATTTCCATGCTCTGTGCAGATTTTTTTGCAGAGCAGAGGCATCAGATGGAAATCTACATTTCAAAAGCTCTGTGATCATAAATGCAGTACCTGCCCTGGACATGGTCTCATCAGTATCCGTGTCCATGGTTGGGATGAGGAATAAATTCACCTCCGATTCTAGAAAGTCATACGGCAGGCCAGGGAAGATGTTACAGTCAAGCATGGAGAGAGTACCTAGGAGTCAGATTTGAGCAGTATATCATTATGCAGCCATGTGTTAAAAAATATCATTACAGGAAATATCAAGAGTTACAATTAAACAATGTTTTTAAAAAGGGACACTAGGGATTTAAATCCTAAACTGCCAACCTACGAGCACAGACAGATTTTCTTAGGACAAGGAATATAGCTAAAAAGCTCACAGTTTCATTACTGCATTTTTTATTATTTTTTATTAAGACTCCATAGTTGAGAGATTAAAATAAATGTACCTTTATATCGAAGACGTGAATGCATCATAAGTTTGTCGATCACAGTGTGCATTTGCTTCAAGTTAAGGGGACAGAAATCTTCTCGCTTTGCTTTATTTTGCAGGAAAACTAAATACAGAAATGGAGAGATATGTCATATTGACATCACACTAACACAGAGCTGGAATGCAGATTGAAAAAGTGCCGGCCAAAATGAACAATATCTATTAACTATTGATTAATCCTCCAATATCCAAAGATACTACAAGATTCTTATTAACACCCTGCATTACAATAAAGCCACTAATTAATCTACATGACTATAGTATTGCACTTCTCCAAAAATAAAATGGATCTAGGTGTGAAAAGCAAAAAAAATACTAATTCCTAAACCTGTTTGTAACAACTAAGTGATGGTAAGTCAGCTGACGCTCTCAGCCTATTAGCGGTACCCGGTCCAAGGCTTCCTGATTGAAGGAAAGGGGCAGACTGATCAGGCGCATTCTTCCAAAGTTTGGCATTCTACAGTTTGTTAACAGTTTAGCTTTTTAAGGTAAGACCATGATCTCCTTGCACCATAACAACATCATTGCAAGGAAGTTATTATGGTTCTCAGTGTGGTCCTTTAAATTAGCTTCATGTTAAAGGGGTTATATTTTTCAGCACTAAGGAAGCAATGCAGTGGGGCAGCCCATGAGGTCAGCGACCTGATAATGCAGAAAGAATGCCCTCTCTGTTTTTCTGCTACTGAGTGAATAAACACACAACAGAAAGTAATATCTGGGACCTGTATTCCATAGAACTGTACTGTAAAACAGGGAGATTGGGGTTTCCTTGTGGTTTTACTAGATAACTTTGGAAACTAGTTGAGGGATACAGTGTTTCCAAGTCTCTTATGTCTCCATGGTAGTGGCTTCTGATTTTCTGCCCAATTTTTGGAACTGGGTGGCATATCCTATATCTTTCTTTATTGACTGAATTCTACCCCTTTAGGAGACACTGTAAAATTTTAGTATCCACTCAATATCCATGGCATCTGCAAACGAACCAAGCAGAACTCCGATACGTAAACAGCCAAATCCACTTAGATAAGTTTTCATGTTGGTATAACACTTCTAGCTCAGACCACTTTGTGTATGGAAGTTTTCATACGTGAATGATGGTATTTAGAACTCAATGGTTTTCTTTTTCATAATGTATCACATAAAAAGCATTACACAATGACAGTATTATGTCTTTTATGTTTACATGCAAAACTAAGCAACACACCCATTAAACATATTAAATATTTTTTTATTTTATTTTTTACCAATAGTTTGCATAATATTTTCATGTATTATCTATTAAATGTATTTCAAAAAACTAAAAAATGATTTCATAATAGTTTCCCTTTAAGGTTTGCTTAATCTTGTGTTCGGTAAGCTTGGCAGACTCCCACAGGGAACTATGCTGGCCCGATAACAAATCTCATCACATGGGTGGGACAGTATACGGTAATCTAGCTTTTGGTGGAAAACAAACACGGTCAGTCACAGCCAGCCAGAGAAGTGGGTTTGTACTGCATTAATAGTTGTACATTTCTAGGTCATCCAAAAAAAATCAAAAAATCTCAGGTATGGTAAAAATCTCAAGGAATATTAAGGCAAGTGGAAAATATATATATTTTTTTCTCTCCCTTACCCATATGAGGGTAGTACTCCATGGCTTCATCAGACCCAGAAGAGCTGCTGGATTCATGGCTGGGAGATGGAGTAGATGGTTTAAGCATTTCAGCGGTCTGGAGAAAGCTGGAGATAAAGATTGGTGTCAGTAAACTGCAGAACACACAGTCTGTAAAGCATTAACCCACGTAATACAGATTGTACCAGCCTTAAAATACCCCATACAATACAGACAGCACCAGCCTTAGAGTACCCCATACAATACAGACAGCACCAGCATTAGAGTACCCCATACAATACAGACAGCACCAGCATTAGAGTACCCCATACAATACAGACAGCACCAGCATTAGAGTACCCCATACAATACAGACAGCACCAGCATTAGAATACCCCATACAATACAGACAGCACCAGCATTAGAATACCCCATACAATACAGACAGCACCAGCATTAGAGTACCCCATACAATACAGACAGCACCAGCATTAGAATATCCCATACAATACAGACAGCACCAGCATTAGAATACCCCATACAATACAGACAGCACCAGCATTAGAATACCCCATACAATACAGACAGCACCAGCATTAGAGTACCCCATACAATACAGACAGCACCAGCATTAGAGTACCCCATACAATACAGACAGCACCAGCATTAGAATACCCCATACAATACAGACAGCACCAGCATTAGAGTACCCCATACAATACAGACAGCACCAGCATTAGAGTACCCCATACAATACAGACAGCACCAGCATTAGAGTACCCCATACAATACAGACAGCACCAGCATTAGAGTACCCCATACAATACAGACAGCACCAGCATTAGAGTACCCCATACAATACAGACAGCACCAGCATTAGAGTACCCCATACAATACAGACAGCACCAGCATTAGAATACCCCATACAATACAGACAGCACCAGCATTAGAATACCCCATACAATATAGACAGCACCAGCATTAGAGTACCCCATACAATACAGACAGCACCAGCATTAGAGTACCCCATACAATACAGACAGCACCAGCATTAGAGTACCCCATGCAATACAGACAGCACCAGCATTAGAGTACCCCATACAATACAGACAGCACCAGCATTAGAGTACCCCATATAATACAGACAGCACCGGCATTAGAGTACCCCATACAATACAGACAGCACCGGCATTAGAGTACCCCATACAATACAGACAGCACCAGCATTAGAATACCCCATACAATACAGACAGCATTGCAGCGCCCTATATAACACATTCTGTGCCAGCATTGCAGCGCCCTATATAACACATTCTGTGCCAGCATTGCAGTGCCCTATATAACACATTCTGTGCCAGCATTGCAGCGCCCTATATAACACATTCTGTGCCAGTATTGCAGCGCCCTATATAACACATTCTGTGCCAGTATTGCAGCGCCCTATATAACACAGACTGTGCCAGCATTGCAGTGCCCTATATAACACAGACTGTGCCAGCACTGCAGCACCCTATATAACACAGTCTGTGCCAGCATTGCAGTGCCCTATATAACACAGACTGTGCCAGCATAACACAGTCTGTGCCAGCATTGCAGCGCCCTTTATAACACAGACTGTGCCAGCATTGCAGTGCCCTATATAACACAAACTGTGCCAGCATTGCAGTGCCCTATATAACACAGACTGTGCCAGCATTGCAGTGCCCTATTTAACACAGACTGTGCCAGCATTGCAGTGCCCTATTTAACACATTCTGTGCCAGCATTGCAGTGCCCTATATAACACAGACTGTGCCAGCATTGCAATGCCCTATATAACAGACTGTGCCAGCATTGCAGTGCCCTTTATAACACATTCTGTGCCAGCATTGCAGCGCCCTATATAACACAGACTGTGCCAGCATTACAGTGCCCTATATTACACAGACTGTGCCAACATTGCAGTGCCCTATATAATACAGACTGTGCCAACATTGCAGTGCCCTATGTAACACAGACTGCGCAGCCTTGTGATGTTGCCAGACTGTACAAGACTTTAAACACATTGATCGCATTGAAAAAATATATTCTGCAATGCAGAGAAATTCACACGACCCTGTGTCATGTGGAAGATTAAGCTGACTCTTTCACAAACTATTTTCATTAGAGCCATTTTCAGATATAATGCTCTAACACATTCTTCACAAAGAGCTCATCCTCACCGGTATAAGTTGAAGTCAGTAAACCAGTCCTGGACAAAGATGACAACATGGCAAACGGTAAATAGGAAAGCAGCAATCTGCAGCGACTGAATGCAAACAAGAGGATTAATATAGATCAAATGAAAAAAAAATGATATACATAAATACACGCACACCGTGCTACGTGTTAAAAGATTCCCTGACTGAAAAACTATAACGTGATAAACCAATTGAACATTAATGTCTGATGCATGCTAGGAAATATATTTTCAGCCCAAGAGAAAGGTCAAATGTGTGCAAATGTGTTCAAAAGAACATAATGCAAAGAAAAGTCATGTCAAGTATTACATCCATGCAGGTCTGCGGAAAAAAAACGCACCAAGAAATGTGTGTAGATTTCCAATATATGTGATATTTATGATGTGTGCACCATGGGTGATATTTGCAGCTTCATAATCACTTGTATGCGATCACTAATCATAAATGTGTCTGTTCTTTTGTTGAGTTCTTACCTGCATCTCCACGTATGTATGAGGTAGGTTGTACTCTGGAGGGAGCTTCCGGTCATTATTTATCAAATGATCCAATATTGCAGGACTGAGAATAGGCTGGAAAAGAGAAGTACATAATAGGATATGACAAATTGGCCCCATTGGAAAAATGAAGTACACCCTTATTGAATTGTATGGCATTACATATCAGGAAATAACAATCATCTGTTCCTTAGAAAGCCTTAAAATTAGGTACAACCTCAGATGATCAACAACACAAAGTCCAGACCTGAGTGAAATGCTGTGACGGAACCTTAAAGGGAGCTGTACATAAACAAATACCAGCGAACCTCAATGAACTAAAGCAATGTTGTAAAGAAGAGTGGGCTAACATTCCTCCACAGCAATGTGAGAGACTGATAAAGTCATACAGAAATCGATTAAGTCAAGTGATTGCTGCTACAGGCTATTGAATCATAAGGTGTACTTAGTTTTTCACACATGGCTTCTCCATTTTGGCTTTATTTTGTTAAATAAATCATGACAGTGTAATATGTCATGTGTTGTTGTTCAACTGAGGTTGTATTTACCTAATTTTAAGACCTGCTAAGAAACAGATGATTGTTGTTATGTTCTGATAGGTAAAACCAAAGAATTCAAAGAGGGTGTACTTTCTTTTCCCGTATATATTCTGCTACATGATTCAAAGAAGGTCACATCCACAGGCTGACCTCTAGTAGCCAGGTCCATAACCTGGCTACTAGAGGTCAGCCTGTGGATGTGACCTTCTTTGAATCATGTTTCCCATGATGCTCTGTCTATTATGCAATTTTAATTTAGACTTTTACACAGCGATCTTAGAAACATAGAAACATAGAATGTGACGGCAGATAAGAACCATTCGGCCCATCTAGTCTGCCCAATTTTCTAAATACTTTCATTAGTCCCTAGCCCTATCTTATAGTTAGGATAGCCTTATGCCTATCCCACACATGCTTAAACTCCTTTACTGTGTTAACCTCTACCACTATTCCATGCATCCACTACCCTCTCAGTAAAGTAATTCTTCCTGATATTATTTTTAAACCTTTACCCCTCTAATTTAAGACTATGTCCTATTGTTGAGGTAGTTTTTCTTCTTTTAAATATGGTCTTCTCCTTTATTGTGTTGATTCACTTTATGTATTTAAATGTTTCTATCATATCCCCCCTGTCTCGTCTTTCCTCCAAGCTATACATGTTAAGATCCTTTAACCTTTCCTGGTAAGTTTTATCCTGCAATCCATAAACCAGTTTAGTAGCCCTTCTCTGAACTCTCTCTAAAGTATCAATATCCTTCTGCGTACAATACTCCAAGTGAGGTCTCACCAGTGTTCTGTACAATGGCATGAGTACTTCCTTCTTTCTAGTGCTAATACATTTCCTGCTGCTCTTTTACATTGTCTGCCTACCTTTAAGTCATCAGAAATAATCACCCCTAAATCCCTTTCCTCAGATGTTGAGGTTAGGACTCTATCAAATATTCTGTACTCTGCCCTTGGATTTTTACGTCCAAGATGCATTATCTTGCACTTATCCACATTAAATGTCAGTTGCCACAACTCTGACCATTTTTTTAGTTTACCTAAATCATTTGCCATTTGGTTTATCCCTCCTGGAACATCAACCCTGTTACATATCTTAGAATCATCAGCAAAAAGACATACCTCACCATCAAGACCTTCTGCATTATCACTAATAAAAATATTTAAGAGAATGGGTCAAAGTACAGATCCCTGAGGTACCCCACTGGTGACAAGCCAATGCTTTGAATATACTACATTGACTACAACCCTCTGTTGCCTGTCACTCAGCCACTGCCTTACCCATTCAACAATATTGGAATCCAAACTTAAAGATTGCAGTTTATTGATAAGTCTTCTACAGTGTCAAAAACCTTATGGAAATCTAGGTAAGCAATGTCTACTGCACCACCCTGATCTATTATTTTAGTTACCCAATCAAAAAAATCAATAAGATCAGTTTGGCATGATCTCCCTGAAGTAAACCCATTTTGTATCTGATCTTGAAATCCATGTGTTTTTAGATGTTCAACAATCCTATGCTTTAACATAGTTTCGCTACCTGTGTGTCCAGAAATATAATTCGCTCCTGGCTGATGAAGAAGTCGATGCCACTAGTCTGGTTTCCAGCTCTCTCTCGCACTTCCTGGCTCTGCATCCGAAAAACAAATGACCTAAAACACAAACGTATTGAAATAGATTTTTGAAGTGCACACGAAATTAGATATTTAATATTTACAAAGAATTATACAAGTCTATTCTTACAGTAACAAAAGAGCACACACTAAACACCATGGAAAACAATAAAATAGTACATTTTCTAAAATGTTAATGTGACAAACTCCCCTTTCCAAGTGAGTTTGCAATGAGCTCCTGGAGGAGCCTGCTTGCCAGCCTCCTGCCCACAGACTATGGGCCCTGTAAAATACACTGAAAAGTCTCCATTCATGTATTTGAACTATATGGTTCGGAAACCGAACAGCCGCATGAACCAGAGACCACCCTGGAGCTTGTTAAGCCTAATTGCTACTTTGATTTAATTTACACCGCAGTGTTCTAAGTGTTTGCCTGGGTGGCCGCATTTCCTATGGGCGACCACAAGGTGGCAGCCATCTTGTTCGCATGAAAACAGGCAGCGGTGTTTGGTCGTCGAGTTCATGGAACTATTTTCAGACAATGAAACTCCCGAACACCGCTGGACTTCCATGATCGCCTGTGTTTGGTTTTATAACACTTAGGAAGACACTGTTTGATGGAAACGTTCCCACGAACAAAGGAAACAAGCTCCAGGGTAAGACTCTTGAATATGTTCGGTAGTTTGTTCGTTTTTTTTAAACTACCGAACTGGACCGACCACAAGTCCTGATTTTCTGGAACTGTTTTGGGCATGGGACCATGCGTGCGGTGGGTCAAATTATGACTTCCAGGAAATTCCTCAACCGATCTGGGTGATTTTCAGATATGTTGGTCACCCAGATCGGGGCTATTAGGAGATGTAACTTTTGGGGGGATTCTGTGTGTTTAAAGGTATTTTGGGGGGTTTGTAAAAATTTATGTTTTCTGTGCCTGGAGATAATTAAGTTTTATGCACTGCTTACTCAATTATGTCTCAGGCACAGGGGAGGGATTTAGCTATTTTGTATGGGAGTGTCCTGGACCTGAGAGCCAATGTAATCATGTGTATGTTTTACTGTAGCCTACTCTCAGGTCCAGTGGGGAGTGCCCCTTGCATGGGGACCTGCATATAAGGCCAGTTGTTGCTGCCATTAAACTTCATGAAGTCTAGGCTAATGTTTGAGGGATTGGAGAGCTATATTCACTCTGGGGATTGCTATAATCACTATACTCCCTTGGCTTACAGCCTGCTTTGGTCTCTGGACTAGGAAAGCTGGATCCTGATTTTGGAGAACAGCGAGATCCCAACCAAGCTGCAGCGGTTTGTGGGGTTTACGGTGGTTATGGTGTCTGGTGCGGTGCTTATGGTACTCAAGGATTACTAGGTAGCAGCGATTGACGGAGGTACCCAGTCGGGGTGCCAGGCAGGCCATCACTGTTATCTCAAAATAGAAAAAAGAAAATGGGTGACATTTGGTCATAACAGAAGTGATCCTGCCATGTCCCATACCTCTGGTCATCTTCTGGTGAGTTGGCAGATAGCAAGGACATGATGGTAGATTTCCCTGTGCCTTGTAATCCAAGGACACCAACTACAAGAACATCCGTCTGATCCAACAGGTACTGAAACACCAGCAGAACAACACATCAGTTCACAGTGGGAAGAACGCTGATAAAGGCCATTAATACACAGTTACATCATGAGTTGTGTTAATAGGAGATCATTACACTCAAGGCAGTTTGAGAAACACACAGAAATGGCTGGGGCAACTAAAACTCTGTTTCGGATGAATGAGAACAAATGTAAAAATAAATTGTTGGAATTAAACATTTCAATAAAAAAAAAAAAAAAAAAAATTCTAAATGCCCAGCATTATGACCAATGGAAGGGATGGTTGCTTATCCTTCATCATCAAAAAATGAACACGGTTCAATGGTCACTTTTCTAACATTGACAATCCCTCTTTCGCTCACCCAAATAAATGCTATTGGGGCATTTACCAGGTTGAGGACAGGAGCGTGGGCAAGAATAAAATGCACTTACATCTGCATGTGCCACCCACATCTTCTTCAATGGTGCTGTACAAGTACATGGATGCTACAGCATTCATCCCGCAGTACCAAACGTGCATGAACAAACAAGGCATCACAAGGTGACAGTAATTTGTATCGTAAACCACACTGCGTCTGGATAGCCTTGTGTAATGTAATTTGAAGAAAAAAAATTAGCACAACCCATGGCTGAGATGTACTTAGCAAATGGGTTATACAAAATCCTATATGTGACAGTTTCCCCTAAAAGTCTTAAAGGAAATTAGGTAGATTCAAGGAAATGATTCTGTAACAATGTGATACTAATAAGCATTTCTATCCAAATACTGAGAAACAGTAGATAACTGCATAACATCAGTTGTCACTAAAGCTATGGAGATGTGATGAATAAAGTTCCACCGTGACTTATGGATTTTGATCAACATAACAAAGCAGATGACATTACCTCAATTGCACTGTCACACCAATTCATGTATTCATCTACCAGTTTGATGCAGTGCTTCATCTTCTGGGGTGGCATCAACTTTGCCTGGCCCACCACAGCTGTAAAACAAGAATAAAAGACAAAATGAAACCTATGGCTGGGGAACTTTCTCACTGATATGAATTTACTAAATGATTTACTGAGATGCAAACGGCTACAATATTACTTTGTGCTGCAGGGCTTGGCAATGGTCCTGGCCCACATACTCTAATAGGAATTCCATGATTGATGAACAGTAGGTTTAAATGGGTCTTTATTTTACCAAATGTACAATACAGATAGTACATACAATTTATGAACCCTATTGGGTTTTTAATCAAGGCATATGGCTAAATAATCAGCTACTCTAAAAACAGAGTTTTACAAACCTGCAATTAGCAAGGTGATCAGGGTGATAGTGTATTTTATATGCAACAATACTGTTGTATATACTTTATGCTGGAGAAAGAAATGTGATTGATTTGAAAGTGTGGGCAATGAATAGGGTGAGGTTTACAATAAAGGTATCACCATTCTACTACTTCTCAAAAGCCTATTATAAATTCTACAATAAACCAGCAAGCACATTCTCTACATCTTGGATACATCTATACAGCTTCTTCTGTATCAATAATAAGGCTCCCAATGACGCCTCTCCTATCCCCGCACCTTGGAGAGTATGTAACTCCTGGACCAGTCTTCCCTCTGAACCAGGCCTCACCCCTCACCCATATATTGTCTTTTTTCTTTCTATTCCATCCACTCTCTCTTTTTCTATTTCTTTACATATGTCAACATTTGCACTACGTACAGGTATAATTCTGATTAAACATTTATGGCATACCTGTATGCTGCACCAAATAAACCCTTATTAAGATCTTAATAATATCTTACAGTGTGTCTCGGTCACTCCCTGTATTGGTATAAATATTATTTAGATATGGAAAGAGACATTTCCCCCCCCCCCAAAAATAGTGATAAAAGCAATAGAAATTATACGTTCATCACTCTGGGACAAAGAAATAAGACAAGGTTTATCAAGGCAAAGCAAGTGAAACTTATAGGCAAACAGTGAGAGAAATGCTATAGTTTCCATGGTGACAATTCTTTATATAGCACTTCAACCCAAAAGAGCCCTGTATTTGCCTTGATAAGTTTTCTAAACTGAGAAGTCAGATTTGTTGATCGCTGCGCATTTTAATCGATGCATGAGTACCTAAGAAAATACATAATAAAATCAAATACCCAAATTATTAAGTTACACAATGAACCAACAAAGGAATCTCAAATGATCCATTACAAAATGGTTTCTCAATACGTACGGTCCACGTTGCCAGCACTACTTGCTGCAGAGCCCATGCCTCTATTTTGGATTTGATAAACTGGCTGGGTTGGGCGCTGCCCTTCTTTTTCCACCTTTGCCATGGCAGCAGTGGGTGGCAGGGCTGTGCCCTCTGCAGTGGAGGCCGGTTTAGAATCCTCCCGAGCCTTCATTAGGACAATAGGCTTTTCTATAGTGGCAGGAGCTGGAGCAGACTTTGCCTAAATGGGAAACATTGATACAGTTATGATATACTGACATGATATGGCCCTTGTCAGCAATAAATTCCACGAGAGGTTTCATTATCCAAGTAGAAAAAACACCTGCAATCTCACACATACTGTTGTAATTATTCAACTCCCCATTGAAAATTAGGTTTATTGTCAAAATGTACAGACTACTGCAATGAACAAATCAAACAAAACAAAAAAATTTAAATAGTTCGACACAACAAATGCTTCAAGTTGTTAAACTAAATTCAGCTGAAAATGCAACTTATAATGATTTCTCCAGTCTCAAAATTATTCAACCCCCTTAAAAGAATCCTTCTTGATAGCACAAATATGCAAAACAGGTGTTATCACAAGCCCACCTGATTCAACTAATCAAGGGAACACTTGAAATACCTGAACTGGCTAGAGATTTGTTGAATGTCATGTTTGACTGCATGTTAGAAATATGGCTAAGTCAAAAAAATGGTCCACAAAGTTAAGAGAAGAGATCATTACCCTTCACAAACAAGGAACAAGATACAAAAAGATCTCAAAAGGCACTGAATGTTCCTAGGGAGATCGTTGGAAGCATAGTTTGCAAGTTCAAAGTTGAAGGAACAGTGGTTACACTACCTGGACGGGGCAGAAAAAGGAAGCTATCAATGGCTGCAACCAAATTTCTGAAAAGGTAGGCTGTGAAAAACCCTTGAGTGACAGCAAAAGACTTGCAGCAAGACTTAATGGCAGCAGGCACTGACGTTTCAGTAAGCATAGTAAGGTGCATACTAAATGCAGAAGGTTTCCATGCCAGGACTTCAAGATGTACATCACTACGGACCCAAAAGCACAAGAAAAGTCTTCTCCAATATGCTTAAAATCATATAAATAAGCCACAGAAGTTTTGGGATTCTGTTCTGTGGAGCCATGAAACAAAATTGGAACTTTTCGGCCCAATGGATCAGCGGTATGTCTGGCAGAAGAAGAATGAAGCATACGCAGAAAAATACACTGCCTACAGTTAGGCATCCTGGTGGCTGCTTAGTATCCTCTGGCACTGGAAACCTGCAGCATGTGGAAGGATGGATTTATTGAAGTACCAGGAAATCCAAGGAGAAAATGTCATGCTATGTTGAGCTACTTGAAATGCTTTTGTTTGATTTGTTCATTGCAAACAGCTGAAAGTCTAACATAAATTTTTTTTTCAATGGGGGTTGAATAATTCTGATTATAACTGTATAGTGATCTACAAAAATTAAGGTTAGGGGAGGGTCAAAGAAACATAGAATGTGACGGCAGATAAGAACAATTCGGCCTATTTAGTCTTCCCAATTTTCGAAATACTTTTAATTAGTCCCTGGCCTTATCTTAAAGGACAAACTCGTTTTCCTGGCACTATAGTATTAATAGGTCCCACCCACCCTCATGGACCCCCTCCCGCCGGGCTTTAGGGGGAGGAAGGGGTAAAATACTTACCTTTCTCCAGCGCCGGGCTCCCTCGGCGCTGAGGACTCTCCTCCTACTTCAGACGTCATTGGCTGAATGCGCGTCAAGAGCCGCGCGCGCTTTCAGTCAGTCCATAGGAAAGCATTCTCAACGCTTTCCTATGGACGCTAGGGTCCTCTCACTGTGAAAATCACAGTGAGAAGCGCGGAAGCGCCTCTAGCAGCTGTCAATGAGAGGCTGGATTAACCCATATGTAAACATAGCAGTTAACCCTAGAGGGACCTGGCACCCAGACCACTTCATTGAGCTGAAGTGGTCTGTTTGCCTATAGTGGTCCTTTAAGTCTAGGATAGCCTTATGCCTATCCCACGCATGTTTAAACTCCCTGACTGTGTTAACCTCTACCACTTCGGCTGGAAGGTTATTCCATGCGTCCACTACCCTCTTTGTAAAGTAATACTTCCTGAAATTATTTTTAAACCTTTGCCCTTCTAATTTTAGACTATGTCCTCTTGTTGTGGTAGTTTTTCTTCTTTTAAATTTAGTCTCCTCCTTTACTGTGTTGATTCCCTTTATGTATTTAAATGTTTCTATCATATCCCCCCTGTCTCGTCTTTCCTGGCAAGTTTTATCCTGCAATCCATGAACCAGTTTAGTAGCCCTTCTCTGAACTCTTTCTAAAGTATCAATATCCACTAAACACTGCATCTGAAGGACACTTGGAATGAAAGTATCTTTCATCTGTATTTATTTTAAAGCATTCACTATAAAACGCATTAAAATATGTATTTTTTATCTCATAGTTTCACTTAATATCTAACACACTTACACGCTCATTTGCTGGCTTAGACAGGATGATGGGAGTTTTCTGTATTGTGTACCCACAGCCATCTTCATTTCCATCCTGATTGAGTAGAGACATATTAAGAAAAGATCCCAAGATAACATAGGGTTGCAACACAGACCTCTTACTTTACATGGTTTAACAAAGTGTTTATGTTGGTCAGTATTCATCAAAGTGAACACTATCAGGGTAATTCGCTAATGTGAGCAATTCAAAATGAATTTAAAAGTAAGACCAGAATAAAAGGCAGAATTGACTGAGAATTTTTCTAATTTTATCATTCCAAAATTTGAAATTCACTTTGAATTCCTAGCAATTATCACTGTGAATACTGCTAAAAGTGATTATTTTTATAGTCCAGTGGAAATACCATGGAATTCAACAGAAAGTTTCACTTTCAGAATGTTGCTGCTGTTCTATATACATACGTTGATTTACTTAATAACAAAAACAGAAGGGTATATGAAAATCAACCTATTGTGATAGTGTAGTAATGTGGACTGGCATCCTAAATCATCAACATTAAATCGAATTATTTCAGAGGATTCCTCATGTCCAGTAAAGAGAATCTGATAATCTGTGGAATAAGAAAAATAAGCCAAATATCCAACATCTGAGTTAACGTCTCCCTACAATTCAACTTCTTCATTATGGCCAGTGACATTAAAATGAAACTATCATTTACGGTTTTTTTTTTGCTGTTTTTTTTAAAGGAACACACCACCCCCTAAAACAACTTCTTAATGAAGCCGTTTTGTTGGCTGGAGTCTCTGTCTGCCATCTTAGCCTAGTAGAGTAAATACTATGGGTGCCTAGGAAGCAACTTAGTTAATGAGCAAAATGGTTTACCACTTTAAAGGGGCACTGTAGGCACTGTAAATGCTCCATATTGTTGAAGTGGTTATAGAGTCTGAAGATCCTGGCATTGTCCTTCTGTTCAATGTTACACCATTTTTAATGGTCTAAAGCTAAATGAAGGTGCCCAGCAGCCCATTCACTGTGTGCTCCTGAGGCTAATGAGGAAGCAATAACCTGAACGGAAATTGGTGGCATGAAACATAGAAACATAGAATGTGACGGCAGATAAGAACCATTCGGCCCATCTAGTCTGCCCAATTTTCTAAATACTTTCATTAGTCCCTAGCCTTATCTTATAGTTAGGATAGCCTTATGCCTATCCCACGCATGCTTAAACTCCTTTACTGTGTTAACCTCTACCACTTCAGCTGGAAGGCTATTCCATGCATCCACTACCCTCTCAGTAAAGTAATACTTCCTGATATTTTTTTAAACCTTTGTCCCTCTAATTTAAGACTATGTCCTCTTGTTGTGGTAGTTTTTCTTCTTTTAAATATAGTCTCCTCCTTTACTGTGTTGATTCCCTTTATATATTTAAATGTTTCTATCATATCCCCCCTGTCTCGTCTTTCCTCCAAGCTATACATGTTAAGATCCTTTAACCTTTCCTGGTAAGTTTTATCCCGCAATCCATGAACCAGTTTAGTAGCCCTTCTCTGAACCCTCTCTAAGGTATCAATATCCTTCTGAAGATACGGTCTCCAGTACTGTGTACAATACTCCAAGTGAGGTCTCACCAGTGTTCTGTACAATGGCATGAGCACTTCCCTCTTTCTACTGCTAATACCTCTCCCTATACAACCAAGCATTCTGCTAGCATTTCCTGCTGCTCTATTACATTGTCTGCCTACCTTTAAGTCATCAGAAATAATCACCCCTAAATCCCTTTCCTCATATGTTGAGGTTAGAACTCTATCAAATATTCTGTACTCTGCCCTTGGGTTTTTACGTCCAAGATGCATTATCTTGCACTTATCCACATTAAATGTCAGTTGCCACAATTCTGACCATTTTTCTAGTTTACCTAAATCATTTGTCATTTGGCTTATCCTCCTGGAACATCAACCCTGTTACATATCTTAGTATCATCAGCAAAAAGACATACCTTACCATCAAGACCTTCTGCAATATCACTAATAAAAATATTAAAGAGAATGGGTCCAAGTACAGATCCCTGAGGTACCCCACTGGTGACAAGTCCAAGCTTCGAATATATTCCATTAACTACAACCCTCTGTTGCCTGTCACTCAGCCACTGCCTTACCCATTCAACAATATTTGAATCCAAACTTAAAGATTGCAGTTTATTGATAAGCCTTCTATGTGCAACAGTGTCAAAAGCCTTACTGAAATCTAGGTAAGCAATGTCTACTGCACCACCCTGATCTATAATTTTAGTTACCCAATCAAAAAAATCAATAAGATTAGTTTGGCATGATCTCCCTGAAGTAAACCCATGTTGTCTCTGATCTTGAAATCCATGTGTTTTTAGATGTTCATCAATCCTATCCTTTAACATGGTTTCCATCACTTTCCCCACTACTGAAGTAAGGCTTACTGGCCTATAGTTGCCCGACTCCTCCCTATTACCTTTCTTGTAAATGGGCACAACATTCGCTAACTTCCAATCTTCTGGGACTACTCCTGTTAACAATGATTGGTTAAATAAATCTGTTAATGGTTTTGCTAGTACACCACTAAGCTCTTTTAATAGCTTTGGGTGTATTCCATCAGGTCCCATTGACTTATTTGTCTTTACTTTTGACAGTTGAAATAGAACCTCTTCCTCTGTAAACTCACGTGTAATAAATGACTCATTTATAAATGCCTAAGAGTGACACCCACAGCCTCCCACTGCTGGTATTAATTGGTATGGCTAGGGACACATAACCCATGGGGCCCCTGTGCGAAAACTGATCTGCAACACATGGCGGCGGGCACCTGGTCGCAGGGGTCACAGGGACAGCATGCAGATACACATACACTTAAAGGACCACTACAGACACCCAGATCACATCAGCTCAATGAAGTGGTCTGGGTGCCAGGTCCCTCTAGTTTTAACCCTGCAGCTGAAAACATAGCACTTTCAGAGAAACTGACAAGTTTCACTGAGGGTTAATCCAGCCTCTAGTGGCTGTCTCACTGACAGCCGCTAGAGGAGAATCCACGATTCTCACTGTGAAAATCACAGTGAGAAGACGCTGAACGTCCATAGGAAAGCATTGAACAGAAGGACATTGAGTAATGCTTTCCGATGGGCGGTTTGAATGCGCGCATGGCTCTTGCCGCGCATGTGCATTCGGAGCTGAGAGGCGGATCGGGGCGGAGGGATCCCCAGCGCCAAGGGAGTCCGGCGCTGGAGAAAGGTAAGTGCTGAAGACACACACACACTCTCACGAACAGATGCATACACACTAGCTAACAGAGACACACACACTCTCACGAACAGACGCATTCACACTAGCTAACAGACACACACATTTACTGACAGACACACACTCACTGACAGACAGACACATACACACTCACTAACAGACACCAAACAGACTCACTAACAGACGCACACAAACTAACAGGAACATACACACACACAGTAACACACTCACAGACACAAAAACTAACACTAACACACACACACTCTAAAACACACACAATCTAACTAACACTAACACACACTCTAACAAACAAACACACTCTAACACTAACACACACACACGTTTTTTTAAAAAATTTAATCCCCCAGACTCCCTACCTTTGGGAGTGCTGAGGGGATTTTCTGGGGTCCAGTGGTGTTGCTGGGCGGCCAGTCACCGGGCAGGCTGACGGGCGTGCGAGGGAGCATTCTCCCCTGAGTGCTCCCTGTTCAGCTCCCTCGCGCGCCGCGTACTGATGCCGGAGCCGGAATATGACATCATATTCCGGCTCTGGCATCAGTGCAGTGCGCGAGGGAGCTGGGCAGAGAGCGCTCAGGGGAGAGTGCTCCCTCGCGCGTGCGCCAGCCAGCCTGCCCGGTGACACCAGGGCCAGCCACGAGGGGGCCCTGAGGTGGCCAGCTCCTGGGCTCCCCAGGAGAAGAGGCTGGCCACACTGGTGTACATACCAGGTCGCAGGGCGGCCAGGCCCCCTGGTGGGCCGGGCCCGGTCGCAGCCGCGACCCCTGTGACCCCGGTATGTAAGCCACTGGCTAGGGAAGTGTGTAATCTCCAGTGGGGACTGGATTGTGGACGGCCATTCATTTTTAAACTGCTTCAAAATGGCTTAAAATTTAATGGAAGGACAGTGCCAGGAGACTCCAGGTGCTTTAAACAATTCAATGAGATAAAATTGCTATAGTGCCTATAGCAGGAGTAGGCATTCAGAAATCCAGTTGCTGAGGACTACATCTTCCCTCATGCTTTGCCAGCATTACGGCTGTAAGAGAATTATGTGACATGTAGACCACAACATCTGGAGAGCCAAAGGTTGCCTACCCCTGACCTATGGAGTCCCTTTAATGTAAGATGGTGACCAGTGACTCTTAAAAAAAGAAGAATTGTTTTGAATGTTCTTTTTCCTTTATGTTTACTTGTCTCTATATTTTACAAATATATATTCAAATTCCACACTACTGGGCACTGGAAATAGTAATTCATCAAATGGGAAAGGTTTTCCTGCCATAGGCATTTTCACTACATATGTTTAAGACAAGCTATTTCAAATCATTATTTCAGATAATGTTCTTCTAAAGTGACTATTCTGGTAAAAAAGAAAATTGTTGTGGGTGGGGGGGGGGAGAGAAAATGCCACTATTTGACAGAATAGATCAAATATTTCTGGGTAGGTGAGGGTGGAAGTAAAATGTAAACATTTACCTATCTGTTTTTAATTTAAGGGGAAATTCGACAGTTTGACTGTTTTAGCTATTTGGCAAGGGCCCATTACCTAGTGCAAATAAGATTTTCTTATAATACAATATGAAACCTACTTTTTGCAATACAATATAGATGAATAGATTTAACTTGGAGGAACATATTTATGAAACATACATCTGACAAAAAGGCACATTGATTTATGGAAACAAAGTTTCAAATTTAAGAAAATAGATACAAATAGGGACCACGTAGCTAAGGCATGCATTGGGACTCACCCATCGGTCCTGATCACGGTCCCGTAGTATGGGTTCTCTCTCACGTCCAGGCTCAGAAAGATTGAGGTTCCCTGGAGGTCCCTGATCCATCCAGCGTCGTCTCCTGTTGCGTCCAGGGACATACATATTGGGCTGGCTGTGACCGGAGTCAGACATGATTCTATGTAAAGAAGTTCATTTAAAGAAAAATACATGATTACTTTGATCATAACACACTAATTATGGGTACAAAAACAGTAGAGATGGGGAGGGCAAGCACTCCCTTCCTAGCACAGTGCTGATATGCACCCAATATTTGGCATCCCTGCTTGGCACAGTACTGACATGCTCACAATATCTGTCATACCTGCCTGGCCCAGTGCTGACATGGACACTGTGTATGGCACAGTACTCGAAGGCATCCCTGTCTTGCACACTGCTAATATGTTTTCCTTTTTTGACACAATGTTAAAATGTACCCCATTCCTGGCACAGCTGTGACACATATCTCTGCTTGGCAAGGTGTCGATATGAAAACACTGCCTTGCACATTGCTAGCATGTATCCAATGCCTGGCACTGAGCTGACATTTACACCATGAATTGCACATTTACAATTGACATTTACCACATGCCTGGCACAGTGCTGACATTTACCCCATGCCTGGCACAGTATTCACATTTAACCCATGCCAGGCACACTGTTATTGAACCCATGCCTGGCACAGTGTTGAATTTACACACTGCCTGACACAGTATTGACATTTACTCCATGCCTGGCACAGTATTGACATTTACCCCATTCGTGGCAAACTATTATTTACCCCATGCCTGGCACACTGTTATTTACCCCATGCCTGGCACACTATTTGCCCCATGCCTGTCACTCTGTTATTTACCCCATGCCTGGCACACTGTTATTTACCCCATGTTTGGTACACTGTTATTTACCCCATGCCTGGCACACTGTTATTTACCCCATGCCTGGCACACTGTTATTTGCCCCATGCCTGGCACACTGTTATTTGCCCCATTCCTGGCACACTATTTACCCCATGCCTGACACACTGTTATTTGCCCCGTGCCTGGCACACTATTTACCCCATGCCTGGCACACTATTTATCCCATGCCTGGCACACTGCTATTTACCCCATGCCTGGCACACTTATTTGCTCCATGCCTGACACACTGTTATTTGCCCCATGCCTGGCACACTATTTACCCCATGCCTGACACACTGTTATTTGCCCGTGCCTGGCACACTATTTACCCCATGCCTGGCACACTATATACCCCATGCCTGCCACACTATTTATCCCATGCCTGGCACACTATTTATCCCATGCCTGGCACACTATTTATCCCATGCCTGGCACACTTATTTGCCCCATGCCTGGCACTCTGTTATTTACCCCATGCCTGGCACACTGTTATTTACCCCATGCCTGGCATAATTGCTAGCTTGCCCCATGCCTGGCACTCTGTTTACCCATGTCTGGCAATAATTTATTTACCCTCTGCCTGCGTAATACTGTTGTTTACCCCATGCCTGGCAATCACCCCTGTTATTTACCCCATGCCTGGCAATAATTGTTGTTTACCCCATGCCTGCGGTACACTGTTATTTTTACCCTCTATGCCTGCACTCTGTTATTTAACATCTCATGTCTGGCATAATTGTTGTTTACCCCATGCCTGGTACTTCTGTTATCGGGCTCCCATGCCAGGCACACACTGTTATTTACCCTGCTGTGTACTACCGTTATTTGCCCCATGCTTCCTGACACTCTGTTGTTTACCCTACGCCTGGCATACTGTTATTTGCCCTATGCCTGCACTCTGTTATTTACCCCATGCCTGCATAATTGCTATTTTACCCCATGCCTGGCATACTTATTACTCCCATGCCTGGCACTCTTATTTGCCCCATGCCTGGCACTCTGTTATTTGCCCCATGCCAGGCACACTGTTATTTGCCCCATGCCAGGCACACTGTTATTTGCCCCATGCCTGGCACTCTGTTATTTACCCCATGCCTGGCACACTGTTATTTGCCCCATGCCTGACACTCTGTTATTTGCCCCATGCCAGGCACTCTGTTATTTACCCCATGCCTGGCACTCTGTTATTTGCCCCATGCCTGGCACTCTGTTATTTGCCCCATGCTATGCACTCTGTTATTTACCCCATGCCTGGCACACTGTTATTTGCCCCATGCACTCTGTTATTTGCCCCATGCCTGGCACTCTGTTATTTGCCCCATGCCTGGCACTCTGTTATTTGCCCCATGCCTGGCACCTGTTATTTGCCCCATGCCTGGCACACTGTTATTTGCCCCATGCCTGGCACACTGTTATTTGCCCCATGCCAGGCACTCTGTTATTTGCCCCATGCCTGGCACTCTGTTATTTGCCCCATGCCTGGCACACTGTTATTTGCCCCATGCCTGGCACACTGTTATTTGCCCCATGCCTGGCACACTGTTATTTGCCCCATTATTCCAATCCTATCAGATATGGCTGTGAGCTGGTATTGAGCCCATGCCTGGCACACTGGGATCCAGATCTAGGTTTAGGCTGATAAATGGACACGGTGTGCCCCCCCCCCCCCATATCACCAGACCCCGGCACCAACTTACCAGCCTGATCTATAGATTTCCTATTCTCTGTATCCACAGAGTGGGTCCGTCAGTAAAACACGTCTACCAGGAAACAAACAGATGAAGAAAGGTTCCGAGGAGCGAATAGTTCCTGCTCATGGCAGATACCATGGCAACATAAGATAACGGGGTAATAAGACAGGCAATAGGTAGTAACAGGGGCAGCATGGCAAGATATATGTATAGTATAATACAGGGTTACCTGTCAGTGTGTATCTGCCCTGACCTGGGGATTATATGCAAAGTCTTATTGAAAATATAGACCAGTACTACAATAAATGTGATCACAAACAGTAACTAGTCTGTGACTGAGATCCATTATGTTCTCCTGGACAAATATCAGGGAACAACATTTCACATATATGTATAAATACATACTTCCCAAGTGTCCCAATTTAGGAGGGACAGTCCCTATTTTGACACATTTCCACCTGTCCCTCTTTTCTCTCCTAATGTCCCTCTTTTCTAGGAGCTCCATATTGTTGGTGTGTCACAGCAATAATACTCTCAGTAATGTGTTTTTAACCCTTTAAGGACCAAACTTCTTGAATAAAAGGGAATCATGACATGTCACACATGTCATGTGTCCTTAAAGGGTTAAACTACAATAAATGTGTTTAGAAATCAATAAGATACATTATTCTTCTTCTAAATTACATTGTATATGCAAAAATTGTTACTAGTAGGTTCACCTAAAAATTCTCAAAGCAGACAACCCCCCAACTCACACTTCTAGAATTAAGGGGTCCCTCTTTGTCAATTTGAAATGTTGGGAGTTATATAAATGATATGTTGTGTCCAATAAAACATGGTGGATCTGGCAAACCTTTGTCTAGCGCGTGTCCTGAGGGAGTTGGCTACTAGTAACTAATGTATATACAGTAACTAGGGAATGAGTAAATAAAATATTTACCTTTTATTAAAAAAGAAAATGGGGCGCAGACACTACTGTGTGCTAAGCTTGCGTATGTACGTATACCATGTTAAACGGGCTGCTCATCACACGATCAGATTGGCACTGTGCATGCACAGTTTAAATTATTGGTATATGCATACCTCCCAAATAGCCCTATTTAGGAAGGACAGCCCTTTTCTTCTATTATTATTATTATTATGTTATTATTTATATAGCGCCAACAAATTCCGCAGCGCTTTACAGTGGGTGGACAAATATGTAGTTGTAACCAGACACGTTGAACACATAGGGACATTCTCTTTGATCTTGGTTCTAATTTATTTTTCCAAAAGGTTGTGAAGTCAATTTAAAGCTGCAGTTGCTACTAAACTCTGAACTTTAATGAGTTGAAAACCAAATAGCCAAATAGGAAAATATGGTGGGCAAAAATAGATGAGCTGCAGCAGCACCCCTGTCCATGACTTTCTGACTCAAGCCTCGGACAGAAGTGGAAGGAGAAGGGCAGAGCTATACGGAGCTGTATTCAACACTATGCACTTAAACCATTAACAGTTTAACCCCTGAATGGTAAGTTGGTGCCAGGGACCTCCTGGCACCATACCAACTTCATTCTATTGAAGTTGTGTTCCCGGAGTGTTTCTTTAAAAGAACATTCCAAGCATCATAACCCCTACAACCTGCTGTAGTGGATATGGTCCATGGTAAATAGGGAAACCATCTTAGTAGTCAAACCATCAATTTACCGGAGTCCCACCGGGCGGCCTGCAGCTAAAGTCCCAGCTTTCGGTCCTCTCCTGCAGGAGAACATGGCGCTCTCCTGAAACGGTGCTCACTGGCTGAGCGTCAGCGCAGTGCTCTCGGCCAATGATCTAAAACGGTATGATTACAACATTAACCTGTAGTGGTTATGGTGCTTGGAATATTCCTTTAGAATTCTGAATAGCAAATTTAGGTTAACATAGGCAAGTCGAATCTATAACTAGTTGGATTTTTTAAAATAGCTATTCTTCTTAAATTTAGTCATTTGGATTTTAATTCACAGCATTTCAGAGTTTACGGAAGAAAGTTGTCAAACTTTGAAATTTACAATAATCCATATTTTAAGGACTTAGTCGCTAAACCCTGAACTGCAGCAAATTGAACAAATATATACAGTATATGTGTGTATGTTTGCGGGTGGGTGTATCTAGTCTGGCATATAGCAGCCCTGTGGGTTAATAAACCTGCATGTGTTGGCATTTCCTTGTAAATAATGTATCAATACACCCCAGACAGTGATACACTGCTCACTGCTGATAATGGCAGCAGACCCAACATGTTTTACTGCGAGTTTCCCTCTGCTTCAGGCTGCTGGGCAGTGCATGAAGGGTGCTGCCCTGCAGTATGTAGCATTCACAAGGGGTAATGCAGTAAGGGGTAATGAATTAAGGCAGTTCCTTTAGGACTTCCAGCTGTCTATGAATTCTGTACCCTGCAGGGCAGCTCCTTTAATGCCCAGCCCACCAGCAGGGAGCACAGATACCCATGCAGAATAACAGGCTCCCTATTCACTGAAAGCTCCCAGACACGCTGGAGTGTAGTCTAGTCCTTTTAAATGCTCTCTGCCGCCTGTTCCTCTCCCAGGTGCATGCTGGGTAACGTAGTTCCCCAGGCAGTGATCTGACTACAACCCCCATCATGCTGTGCTTCCTCTTTGATTGCTTCCTGGTTCCTGCTGCTGTTTGTTCCTGTCCGAGGAGAGGTTGATACATGTAACAGATCGCCAGTGGCTGGCTTGGGGAGGTAAGTGCCCTGGAGGGTGGGCACAGTTTGGGTGTCTTTACTTGGAGGGGGTATTGGGGGGTGCTGCTGGGGTCCCCTGAACCGGACCAGGAGTTTATCAGGAGACCTTTATTAACCTCCAGCCGTGTATTAATGGAGGGTGAGAGTTACAAAGTATTCCACCCTGTAAATGTATCTTGTTTTATTTAATTAGGAATGATCCTATTATATTTCTATCATTCTATCTATCCTATTTCATTACACAGTCCAGTGAGGTCAGGAAGGCTGACAGCTAACACCCATTCTTATATCATTTAACCATTTGGGACCCATTTTTGCACTCTTTCTGTTTCCACTCCTGTTTGTCAGTACTTACCTTCTGTGTGTGTGTGTGTGTGTGTGTGTCTGTCTGTCTGTACCCCCTTTGGTACAGTTACCCCCATCTGTTACTGGACATATATCACTCTTAAATTCTGCTGTCTGAGCATGAAAAGAGTAGAGAGAACTCCCCCCCCCCATGTTAATTTATATATTTGTATATTAACACTGTAGCATTGAGATGCTGCAGGAAAGAATACAACTAATCAGGGTAAGTCCCTTTAGAATTCCTTCTTGATTAATGAATGAATCGCGTTGGACAGCATTTGATTTTTACACATTGCAGGGCAACACTTTTCATGCACAGTCCATCATGTTAAAGTGACAAGCATGAAGAGTGTGACAACAGTGCTTGAGGCTGACCCTTTCCAAGCTATGCTTTTGGATATTATTTAGAGTGACATTTAGACATTTTGCTTCTATTGTTTACATCTCCTATACCTCTTCTCTATTCGCTTTTTCAGTTTATATGGATCCATTATTGTGACGGTATTGGTCTCTATCAACTTTCTGAGAAAAAAAAAAAGACAATTTCTGCATAGTGGTATCTGCAGCGTATTTGGAACAAGTCTATGATCTTTGTAATGTGATTTATGTAATAGATCTGTGTATGGAGATTAAAAAACTGTAAAAAATATTATTCTTACATTAGGAATGTAATATTTTAATGATCGTTTAGTTAAAATATCACATTTTATCTTTAGGTTGTGTTTTTTTGTTTGTTTTTTTTGTTTAAAGATTTACATTTTTATTTTTTTATTTATGTAATGGCTGCCAGGTAATTTTAAAGGGTTATTCCAACTCTTTTTAAATAACTTTTATTTTAATTTAGACTTAAGAAAAGGCCAATTTTCTGTTGAAATTAAGAGCTGTTACTTCCAGCGAAGTTAACCTGTCATCAACACCATGTGAATTAACGTTTTACTTTATGTAAATTTTTTATGGCCTGACCGTCTGGGCAAGTCATCTGTTTATAAAGAGGTTAAACAGTGACCCATAGAAATACACATTGAAGTGGTCAGTGTGTATGTGTACCATTTCTGGGTTTTATATATACATAACTTGACAATATAGAAATCTGTATAGATGGATCTCAGTTGAGGAGTAAATTGAATAATGAAACTGAAATAAAAATCAACAACAAGCTAAGGTTTATTTGTAATACAAGTTTATAAATGTCTGTTTTTTCTCATTTAGTTTATTGATCATCATCCAATTGCTTTACTGCTACGCTGACAACGCAAAATCTAAGGTAAGTGTGCAATAATTACAGTATTATCTATAGTAACCTTGACACTAGGCACCACAATCACTTCCTTTTATTAAAGTGGTTTTTGTGCTTGGACTCAGTGGCACAGTCCCACTGTTTCTCCCCAAACAAGGAGCATTTACTGCTATGAGCGTGAGAGAATGAGGAATTGCAGCTATTGTGAAAGTGACATTTACTTTGTATCAAGATATTTTGACAAGGTGCTACTTGTTGCTATCATTCTTTTTCTTTAACCCCTTCAGGACAAAGTCAATTGTCCACGTTCTGATCAAAACAAAATGTAAACAAAAACTGGAATTTGCGCTATGTCTGTTCAACCATAATTCACCTCTTTCATATGAAGTGCACACTTATTATATATCATTTTATTCAGGTGAAACAGGGCTTTAATGTCTCATGAACTATTCATATATGAAACATAATTTATTATGAATAAAATAAAAAAAACTGTGAGAAATTTAATATTTTTAAAAATAATTTGTAGTTCCGCCTGACATTTTAGCTGTAAATGTCATACCGTTAGCTTTTACTACAGTAAAATGCACATATTTTTATTCCGCAACATCTCACGAGTACAACAGTACCCCCTTTTAACAGGTTTTACAGTGTTTTGGAAAGTTACAGGGTCAAATATAGCACATTCCATTTTTCCATTTTTTTTCACATTGAAATTTGCCAGATTAGTAATGTTACCTTTTGAGACCATGTGGTAGCCCAGGAATGAGAATTACTCTCAAGATGACATACCATTTGCAAAGGTAGACAACCCAAGGTATTGCAAGTGGGGAATGTCCAGTCTTTTTTAGTAGCCACTTAGTCACAACCACTGGCCACATTTAGCGTTCATATTTGGTTTTTGTGTGAAAAAAGCAAAAAACAAATATTTGGCCAGTGTTTGTGACTAGGTGGCTACTAAAAAAGACTGGACATACCCCACTTGCAATACCTTGGGTTCCCTACTTTTGTAAATGGTATGCCATCGTGGGGATAATTCTCATTCCTGGGCTACCATATGGTCTCAAAGGCAACATTACCAAACCGGCAAATTTAAACGTGAAAAAAATGAAATGCAAGCCTTATATTTGAATCACTACCTTTACAGAACACCATAAAACCTGTACACAGGGGGTACTGTTATACTTGGGAGACTTCACTGAACACAAACATTAGTGTTTCAAAACAGTAAATTGTATTACAACAATAATATTGTCAGTAAAGATGCCGTTCGTGTGTGAAAAATGCAAAAAACTTCACTTTTACTAAAAATATCATCGTTGTAATACAATTTACCATTTTGAAACTCTAATTTTTGTGTTCAGTGAAGTCTCCCGAGTAAAACAGTACCCCCCCATGTCCAGGTTTTATGGTGTCTTGGAAAGTTACAGGGTTAAATATAGTGCTTGCGAATTACATTCTCTGTCCTTTCTGCCTGTGTTGTCAGGCATGTCAATCAAATATTAATTAATAAAATCACATAGTTATGCTAAAAGATTACTTCAATATACACGTAGAATTTTAACCCCTTAAAGACACAACTTCTGGAATAAAAGGGAATAATGACTGAATATTTCTGTCATGTGTCCTTAAGGGGTTAATATATATACATATATGTATTTAAATTCTACGTGTATACTTATGTATATATATATATATATATATATATATATATATATATATATATATATATATATATATATATATATATATATTATACACACACATATAATTTGTGGTTATTTGTATTTTATAGATAGATCTATATAGAATGTCATTCTAAGTGTATTTTGTTACATATATATAACAAAATACAGTTAGAATGAAATTACATATGTATACATGATTTAATTTAAAAAAAATATATATTTTATTCATTATTGTAATTATATGTGTGTGTGTGTGTATAATATATATATTTTTTTTTTTTGCATAAATCCCCTACACTCACGCCTTAACCACTTCACTGCCGGGTGCATATGCCAGGGCTCCACAGAAACACAATCCCAAAGTAGTAATGGCTGCTCTCCGGTCTTAAAAATAAAAATGTTATTAAATCAAGTTAAAAATAACGACCAACGTTTCAGTCCCAGCTCGAGACTTTCTTCAGGGTTGTCTTGTCTTGTTTGACCCTGAAGAAAGTCCCGAGCCGGGACTGAAACGTTGGTCGTTATTTTTAACTTTATTAAATCAAGTTTTTATTTTTAAGACCGGAGAGCAGCCATTACTACTTTGGGATTTTGTGTGTGTGTGTGTGTGTGTGTGTGTGTGTGTGTGTGTGTGTGTATATATATATATATATATATATATATATATATATATATATATATATATATATATATATATATATATATATATATATATATATATATATATATCCAGGATGCACTGTCAGGGCTTGGTGAAAAAATATTCTGATTTATTTAAATAATGTGCATAACACAAACAAATCAACCGGCGTTTCGACCCCTGCTGGTCTTTTTCACCAAGCCCTGTGAGTGCATCCTGGACTTTTCTTTACTTATATATTGGACGCACTACGGATGGCACCCAAGCAGATATAATAATAACAATAAGAAGGAGAGGGCCAAACTATTTACTTTTATTTATTACACACACACACACACACACAGACACACACACACACACACACACACACACACACACTGTGTGTATGTATGTATTAAATATATGTAACGTCATTCTAAGTGTATTTTAATACTAATATATGTACTTATATTAACATTAAAATACACTACGTATGACGTAACATATATATATATATATATATATATATAATATGTGTGTATATGTATGTATGTGTGTGTGTATATATGTATATAATATAATATGTTCCTTGGCACTCACCCCTTTAGTGGATAAAGGTAAATTCGCCTCGGCGCTTCCCTTGGCGTACTATATAATCAAAAAATTAGGAAGTAGGTGCACTCAGAGGTCTTGTATTCTTCAAATAGTGGTTTTATTCAGATTTACATGCGTTAGTCCCGATCAACGTTAAAAAGTGGGAGGCACATATACAAACTTTTGTAATTCCTACACCGTTCACCTGATTTGGATGTAAATACCCTCAAATTAAAGCTGAAAGTCTACAGTTAAAGCACATCTTGTTTGTTTCATTTCAAACCCATTGTGTTGGTATATAGAGCCAAAAAGATTAGAATTGTGTCGATGTCCCAATATTTATGGACCTGACTGTATTATACACTTTTATTTTAAACATGTTGAATTATTTTTTTTATTTTTATTTTTTATACCTCCCACCAGCAGGGGGACTGTCTGACAGCCCAGACAGTCTCCCTGCTGGCAGATCCACAGCCAGCTATAGGGGGCCATTTAATTGCTCTTTGAGAGCGATCACATGGCCCTCAGGAGCCTGATTTGCACAATTCAAACACAGCCCTGAATTGGATCAATGAATCTCTATGAGGAAAGTTCAGTGTCTGCATGCAGAGGGAGGAGATACTGAATGTTTGGATGCATTTTAGGCAGCCATGACCCAGGAAGGATCTCTAACAGCCATCTGAGGAGTGGCCAGTGAAGTTATCACTAGGCTGTAATGTAAACACGTCATTTTCTCTGAAAAGACAGTGTTTACAGCAAAAAGCCTGAATGTAATGATTCTACTCACCAGAACAAATTCAATAAGCTTTAGTTGTTCTGGTGACTGTAGTGTCCCTTTAAAATCTTCTACTGCAGTTGTGCATCTCCCTCTTTTATAGTATTTGTTAATGTCCTTGTAGATTCGCTACATTCCAAATTGTAATTCGTCTGCATTTGGGCTAATCGGATGAACATTCAAATTCCTAAGCCCAAGCCGAAATGTAACTGAATCGCGAACTAAACAAAACATGCAATAGCTAAGCATGTCATTTTGATTAATGATTCTAAATTCCACCTGTGGAGCCAAAAGAAGTGGATAATTGTTAAAATAAAATTATAAGAAATATATGATTGATGGTTAGGGGACAGTGAGTAAATGTTGATTTTATTTACAGATCTAGTGAGAAGTGACCACTAGAGGCAGGGCCGGCTTTAGGCGCCCTGTGCGAAAAATCTTCCCAGCGCTCCCCCTCCCCCCGTCATCCATGTATGATGTAATGTTTGTGTTGTTTGTGTATGTGATAGGTGTGATTACTGTGTGTGATATGTATGCTATGTGTTGGCTGTGTGTGTGATATGCGTATATTGGTTGTATGTGATTTTTGTGCTGGGTTTATTGACTGTGTGTGATGGTTATTCAATTCAGATAAAAACATGCATGCAATTAGGCCTGTATGTGAATGCAGGTGTATATTTTTGCAGAGTTATGTGCACACAGTCCCACAGTCAGATGCACACAGTTATACATATACACTGTCAAATCCACCACATGCACACAGTCGCAGGCAGATAGTTACATGAACAGGATCAGGCAGTAACACACATACACAGTTACAGGTAGATAAACGCAGACAGACAGACACACACACACACACACACACACAGGCAGCCACACATACAGTTTTACTCACACACACACTGCCACACAGTCTTACACACACATACTTACATGCAGACAGACACACACACACACACACACACACACAGGCAGACGGCCATACACACACGGGAAGACATCCACACACACAGAGGTAGGCAGTCACACACACAGGCAGACAGCCAATCAAACACACACAGGCAGATAGTCATCAGACACACACACACAGGCAGTCATACACACACATGCAGTCATACACACACACACAGGCTGTCATATACACACACACAGGCTGTCATATACACACACACACAGGCTGTCATATACACACAGGCAGGCAGTCATACACACACACACACACACACACACACACACACACACACACAGACAGGCAGTCATACAAACACACACACACAGGCAGACCGTCACAGACACACAGGCAGACAGTCACACTCACACTGACAATCACACAGTTACCTGTGGAGTTCATTGTGGAGACAGTGCAGCTCCTGGAGACTGTTTGGTGGGGAAGCAGGGACTCCTTCCTGCTTCCCCTGCAGCAGTTATCCGGCGCTTTTAGCTCCGCTCCATTACACAGGAAGCTCCTCCCCTGCCGCATGGGAAGCTCCGCCCCGCCACAATTTTTTTTACATTTCAGGCTGCCCCCTGCTCCATGGCACCCTGTGCGGCCTCACAGCTAGCACACCCCTAAGGCTGGCCCTGACTAGAGGGGGGAAAAAGGAGGAGCAGTAAAAGAAAAACATTTATTTATACGTTATTTATATATAAAATATAGATTTATATTTTTTTTTTATTGATTTTTTTTTTTTTTTTCTCTGCCTGTTTTTTCCCTCTGGTAGCTACTTTTTCTCACTTGATTTGAACAAAATGGCAGAAAAATGTGCCTTTCAGTGTACTGCAAAATTGTACACGTAATATCTATTTTCTCACCCTTTTTGTTTATCAGATTTGTTTCCTGAATCAGTTTTTCGATGCCAAATTGACCTATCGCAAAATTTAGACATTCCACCCCCCAAAAAAACGGTTCTGCCAAACTGAATTTTCTCGATGAGCACAAATCTAGTTGCTAAAGGGTCACTCCATGCCCCCAGAACCTCAGCAGTGATGATGGAAAGACCCTAGACGGCGACACAGCTGGTTTAATGTATTAGGAAAAGCAATTTTATTAGTAATGTAAAACATCAAGTGATGTTTACTATAGCTTAAAGACAAAGAGGGGCTGTGTGAAGTCCCTCCTGTCACCCAAAGGATAGAATTGTCCAATGGGCATGCCTTATGCCATAGCTTGTATCCCACTTTACATACCAGACGGCTGATCTTCTTTTCTTGTTGTTTAGGTTTCCTGAAGACCTCTTTTTACTCCTTGACCATGGAAACCTGCCATGGCTTTGAGGTTGGTGCTGAAGTTGAACTGCAGGAGGTGGTAGAATTGGTGGAGGAATGTCCGTCAATAACAGTGGTAAGTACTGCGTGCCTTACAGATTGCTTTACGTTAAATGTGGATACATCTACTGGTGAATGATACCCTTTCTTTGCAAAGCCTTTCATCAGTGCTCATTATTATCTCTAGTTGTTTGAGATACTGTGCAGAACATCACTTTCTAGGGCAGTAGGTTGTGTTTCTGTTTTTTGTTAGTTTGTTTTTTCATACTTTATTAAGACACTTGTGTTTTCTGTTCATTTTGCTAATTTTGTCTTTATCTTAAGTGTATATAGAATTTAAATAATATAGAATTCAAATGCTGATGGTTACTGCGGTATAATTTAATTTTAAGGTGACTTCTGCTATTGTCTTATACAATGCAACTATTTGGCAGCTGTAAAATGATAAAAAGCCCAAACTGACAAACAAAAAGGGACAAAATGTTTGATAGACCCTTTTTGTTTGTTTGTTTGTTTGTTTGTTTACTTTTCAGTCTACATCAATTTGTTTAACCCCTTAAGGACCGGACTGTTTTTGCGATGTTGCACATTTGCGACCAGGCATCTTTTTACACTTTTGTGGTGTTTGTATTTAGCTGTAATTTTCTGCTCTCTCATTTACTGTTCCCATACAAATTATATGTTGTTTTTTTTCAGGAGAAAAGGGGCTTTCTTTACATACCATTATTTATATAATCTCATGTAATTTAATTTTAAAATTTAAAAAAAAAAAAATATGATGAAAAATTTAAATAAATACATGTTTTTTTACTTTTACTTGAAAAATCTTTTACTCATCTACAAAAGCAAATGAAAAAAAACTACTAAATAGATTCAAAATTTTGTCCTGAGTTTAAAAATACCCAGTGTTTACATGCATTTTTGCAATTTTTTTGCATGTTATAGGGCTATAAGTACAAGTAGGATATTGCTGTTTCAAAACATACATTTTTAAAATTTATCAATAGTGACATTGTAACACTATTATCGGTCATAAATCTCTGAATCTACACCCCACATGTACATTTTTTTTTTTTTAAAGTAGACAATCCAGGGTATTCAATATGGGGTATGTCCAGACTTTTTTAGTAGCCACTTAGTCGCAAACACTGGCCAAATTTAGCGTTCATATTTTTTTTTGTTTGTGTGTGTGAATGGACATACCCCATTTGCAATACCTTGGGTTGTGTTCTTTTGCAAATGGTATGCCATCATCGGGGTAATTCTCATTCCTGGGCTAACATACGCTCTCAAAGGCAACGTAACCAACCTGGCCTTTTTCAATGTAAAAATATTTGACCCTGTAACTTTCAAAAACGCTATAAAACCTGTACATGGGGGGTACTGTTATACTCAGGAGACTTTGCTGAACACAAATATTAGTGTTTCAAAATAGGAAAACGTATCACAACAATTTATATTATCAGTAAAAGTGCTGTTTGTGTGTGAAAAATGCAAAAAAAGTCACTTTCACCGACAATATAATCGCTGTGATATGTTTTACTGTTTCGAATCACTAATATTTGTGTTCAGCAAAGTCTCCCGAGTAAAACAGTACCCCCCATGTACAGGTTTTAGGGTGTCATAGAAAGTTACAGGGTAAAATATAGTGCTAGCAAATTAAATTCTCTGGACTTTCGACCTGGATTGGCAGGCAGGTCCCTCAAATTGCAATCAATAAAATTACTTAATTATGTAAAAATATTACATAAATACGCATGTAGAATTTAAATATATATGCATATTTATATATTTGAAGTCTACGTGTATATTTATATAATTATTCATGTAATTTTGTATATGGACATGTCTATTTCGTATTATTTTGATTTATTTATACATAGATATATATACAATGTCATTCTAAGTGTATTTTGATATATATATATATATATATATATATACTAATATCAAGATACAGTTAGAATCAAATTTCATATAGATATATAATTTTTTTTAAATTTTTAATTTAAATTACTTATTTGTATTTTATAATATATATATATATATATATATATATATATATATATATATATATATATATATATATATATATATATATAATATATATATATAAATAAAGAATATCAACATCCCCTGCACTCACGCTTGAAGTATTCCAAATGCCGGGCGCACCACCAAAGCTCCAATAGGTATAACATCCACAAGAAAAGGCTGCTCTCCGGACTTAAAATAAAAAGTTTTATTGAAAAAATTTAAAAATGATGACCAACGTTTCGGTCCCCGATCGGGACCTTCCTCAGGGTCAGAGACAATAGGACAACAACAAACGGTGTACAAAATGACAATATATACCATTACATTAAGTGAAATAACTCACCCAGGTGTTCTATTCTCGTTTCCCGCCGGCACCCAGTGAATTTCCGGGTATGCGCGCGCACGTCAATACGTGCTCCGCCCCCTCATCATACTACGTTACGTGCCGACGTACTCCCGGTCACATAGACCGGTCTCCTTAGCAACCGTATATACAAAGACCCCTCTTACAACAAGAGGAGTCTGTACCAGAATAGAGAATAGGATAAGAAGAATTAGTGCCATATACAAGTAATCTAAGTGCCTTTCTAAAACAAATCTTGTGACAGGCTCATTATATATCATATACCCCTAACCACAATAACACCTAGTGAACCTAGGTAAGTGACACCTCATCAAGGTGATAATAGTACCACTAAAATTTATCCAGAAAGTGCATGAGCCCCTTTTATAGTTAAGTGTGAAATTACACTCATTAGTGAATCAAAAAAATTCATATATATACACGTGTGTAATTTAATTATAAGTGTATTTTTATATTAATATATGTACATATTAATATAAAAATACACTTAGTATGACATTATTTATATATATATATATTATATACACATGTATAATTTTTTTTAAATTAACTTTAATTTATTTTTTTTTGTCAGTACAGACAGTCCCCCTGCAGGCATACACATGGACCCAGGGGTCCTAATCTGCTGTGGGGAGACTGTCTGGGCTGCAGGCAGTCTCCCCACACCGAGAGCAACTCCAATCGCCGCCGGGGGAACGACGGCGAACGGGTAAGTACATCTGACCGTTAGGACGGTTCGGGACCGTCACCGGTCGGCAACGCTAAAATGCCGATGACGGTCCTGAACCATCCGCGGTCCTTAAGGGGTTAAATATTGCAACTGTTTATTTTTTTTTTTTTTTTTTTACTCATCTGACTTTACTAACTTTAACAGTGAGTTGCAAATACGGTAACTGCTATTTGAAATTACAGGAGCTGTTCACCAAAGTGAGAATACAAAGTGAATTTCAAATTTAAGGCCAGAGTAGCCGAACTGCAAGCATAGCGGACTTAGAACTTTTCCAGTTCAGCTATTTTGTCCTTAAATTTGAATTCTCACTTTAGCAAATAACCCTGATAAAGTTTGGTCAAGTTCACAACATTATGTCCATTGCGGTGGACTATAAATGCTCTTTATTATTAAGTTATCATTTAGCTTATTGTTTCTCCGTTCAGAAGACAAGCTTTTGAGATTTTATGTAATTTGTTTTTGATTCTGAATATCATGATTATGGTTCAAGGGCTCACTCATTTCTTTATTCCTTAATTTGTTCCCTCTAGGAGAATAAGCACGACTTGCCAGTCTGGCAAACCTCGCATTGCATCGATGATCTGATTAGTGATGAGGAGCTAGATTCACAGCCCGTCCTTTCCCCATCTCCTGAGATTGAAAACCTGAAAGTATTTGATTCTTCTTTCATTGAAACAAAAATACGTTATGAGGAGAGAGGAACCGCAAGTGAGAAGACTGCCCCGCTTTCTGTCTCTGATGGTTCACTTACAGGATTCCAGAGCCATGGATTAACATCAGATACGGAGTCAATGCTTTGGAATAACTACTTTCTTCAAGACCCAGATAACCCACTAGAAGTGATATCAGGTACTGGGGAAACCGAAACTATGAGGAATTCTGATACCAGACAGAACCAAGCATTGTACCGGCTACCTTCTAACTTCAACCACATGTCTTCAGAATCAGCCTGGTCTGAACAAGAGAAAAATGAGGACTCCGAACACTTTAGTTACTACAATGCCAACACAAATTTTAGGGGTTCTGTAAAACCTTCAGTTCGTCGCCATAAATGTCCAAGGTGTGGACGTAGCTTCAGACGTTTGTGCAACCTAGAAAAGCACCTGTGTCTGAAAATGGCAATGGGATTCTCTGTAGCAAATGGCAGTAATCCTGGGCAAGTTGTTCCCAGTGCCAAAGCCACAATGAAAGTCAACGGGCATGAAAATAATTATCAATCCAATAGTGGCTCGGATGAGCTGTTGGAGCAGATGTGTGCCAAAGCTCAACAGGAGCTTCACCTAATACAACAGCAACATGGCAAGAGTGGACCTTCTGACGAAAAAAGTGTCAGGCAGGAGTATGAGACTATAGAGAAGGCACACCTGCCAGTCACGCCCTCCTTAATTGAGAACCTTTACGCACCAACTTTCCCTCTGTTCTTCCCTTGTAAGGAATGTGGACGTTATATACACAAGAACTCCGTAGACAGCCACAGTTGCTGGAACAAAGACTCCAGTTTATCATTTCTAGAAGGTGTAGCCACTGCTAATAAATCCCAAATGCCAGCTCTGGGAAGATCTCAACGTGAGAAGAGCAACAATCTAGAATATACTGATATAATTCAAGTAATAACACCAGGAACTCCGGCAAAGAGACCGAAAATACATTCTGTTGCTGAAGAATCGATCACAACTAAAGGCAAACTTTCCAAAACCTCATTTTTTTGTGATCGATGTGGCCGTATCTTTAGGCACAAGCACACCTTAGAAAAGCATAAATGCACTAAGAAAGACATCAGCACATCCCCAATACAAAATAGTCTAGAGGAGTCACATAAGTCCACGGCCAGATATCCGTATTCACTCCAAAGAAGCAAATCCTATATTAATGCGGAAAAGGGAACGCTTGTTCAAACACACAAGGATGATGCCATGTATAAAAAGATAGACTTTTTCCACGATCCGGGCTCTTTAGATTTTGCAGAAACAAACATGGATTACGTCATTGGAACTGCAGAGGATGGCACATTATACGATGGGGAGGACATTCCCATAGACTTCATTGATTCAGAGGGGATGAGGAATACTGGTGAAACTGAGGGACAGTTAGAGCACAGTTTGCCATTTGAAAAAGATTGGGATGGTCAGTCACCAGATATAATTAAGCATCTGATACCTCGTCCAGTGACCTTGCCATTAAAAACGTTGGCACGAATTGGCAAGAGGCTGAAGCATTCATATCAGTGTCAGGATTGCGGTGCACAATTTCTTCAGTACTCACAGTGGAAGCGGCACCAACAGAAGGGAAAAGTGCACAAAGGTGGCTTAAAGGAAAATCACAAATGTGACTGTGGCCGACACATTTTTGGGCCTTTACACTTGCTTCGACATCAGTTGCAACACATAAGTGGCACCCCATTTGTTTGTTCTGTGTGTGGACAGTGTCTTCGTGGCTATCGTCGCCTCCAGGCACACAGCTGGGTTCACCCACTGGCGTCCCGATTTCAGTGTGATTGTGGCGAAATGTTTACCCATCTTTCAAGGTATCTCTGGCATTCGTTGCTGAACAGCAAATCTCCCAAAGGAAAACATACAAAAGCGGTACGATCGTAGTATCACTTTAGCTGTTTTACTGACTAATCTGGACACGATGCTACTGGAACGTCTCACGGATAGTCTCATAGACTAAAGCAGCGTATTTAAGGGTCATTTTTTGTGGCAATGTATCTGCTTGATTGCCACGTGTTTTGTAAAATGGATCATTTCCAGGACACTATACTTGTTCCTGATCTAGCTTTGCTGAGCTACAGAGCATACGCTCTATGAGTAGGTGGTGCATAAGCTGTGGAAGAACTAATTTAATCTAAATATTGATTATTATTTTCAGAAGAAGTAAATGTTATTTATAGCTGTTCTTCTAGAGTACAACTTTTCTTTTCTCAAAATAAAACTTGAAAGGTATATAATTATCACAAACTTGTGCTGTTTCTGTAAAATAAATAGGGTGAGCAGATATTTTAGATCTTTCTAGAAAGCATTCTGAAGTATGTATTGCATACATACATACATACATACATACATACATACATACATATATTTATTTTATTCCTTAGAACACATATTACCTTATAGGCGTTTAACTATATTTTAACTTCAGTTCGTTAAAATTAAATTGATACATCTAAGAAAGTGCCTCACGTAATTATAATATGCTGGGTTTTATATGGGCAAACCAAAAGATTTTGTGCTACGCACAGATATTGAGGGTATGATTGCAAGTCACTTTCTTCATGGCCTTGTGAAAAATAGAGCTCTAACTGTATAATACTTTGTTAATGAAATGTAAGTCGCTGCCACAAACGTGGGGAACCACTGATATGTGGGACTGTTTGTAGCTGATTAGAAATATGTTGCTGAGTAAGTGTTAATGGTCTTGTCATGATACAACATATTGGTAGATGCTGGAATCTACAACAATATTATTGGTATAGAAAATTAACTCTACAACCAAAACCTAAACACATGCACTGTATCTCGAAAGCTGTATCTCGAGTGGGATCGTCTTGTGGATCACTACGCAATGGAACTCATGGCTTGGGTTTGTATTTCCCTTTATAAGTTCATATTACTCTTATGTGTTTTTTGTTGCCCTTTATTATTGTATTGATATCTTTCAGATATTGCATCTGCCCTATAGATGCCATATAGATGCAGCTGTTTTGAGAGGTCTTTGGTCTCAATCTGTTTAATCCCAAGATCATTCTCCTTTCTCATGTTTCTGTGTGTTCATGTCCCCCGTTACCATTGCATTAAATATACAGCCAAGCATCTTTCTGTTACAAGGACCATCAAGTGATACATTTCTTACTTTCTTCTGTGGATTGCTATATAAACCCACACATTCTGCTTCTCTCCTCCTAAACCACAGTGTTAAAAACTGTGGGCATCAATAATAAATCTGGATCTCATGTAATGATTTAGGTTTTAGGAGTTGTAGTTCAGCTTTTAGTTTCTACAGTAAAAAACTGGCCACTGAAATACAACTTAAAGAATCCTTTGCTATGCACATAAAGCATAAATGTGGAATAGCTTTTAGTACTGCTATAGATAGATAATTGGTCACAGTGAGTTACTTACTTTGGGGCTGCCTAGGTTTAGGATTTCTATAATTGCAGGAACGTTCAAATTATGGTTTTGTTTTTCTGGTATTGCAATGTATTTTCCGTGGAATGTGAGTCACCTCCAGCATTTAATGTCCCTTTAACACAGGAGAGGATTAAGTGGTATATGTCTGACTTGGGTGTTCTCCCTAAACATCAAATAGTGAGCTGAAAACCAAACTGCAAATTTAGAGAACAAAAATGCTGATTTTGAAAATGTCTCCAGTTTTGATATACCGGTAGTTATGTACTTCCTTTTGCTTAATCTTGCAATTCATTTATATAGCAAACATTCCGCTTATTCATTTTTATTCAGAGCTGTTTCAAAAGAATTGAAAACCAAAAACATCAATAACATATTCTTTAATTTTGCAAATATACAAATTTATTTTTCTCAACAAAATATTGCTACAGATTCTGCAGAGCCTCTTTGTAGTAGTGATAAGGCACATGTATATTGATTACTATCATGTAAACTATATTTGGAGTATGCCAAACACACATAATTACATTACTTTAACAGAAACGGATTGCTACGGTAATAGCAGTTACTACAACAAACTCTCCTGCCTGGTCTCTCTACAAGGACATCTTAAAGGAAAATTATACCTGAAAATAAATTGTTTAAACGAGTATCACTTTATTGGGGTAGCCCTCCCAGTTAAAAAAAAATACACCTTAATAACTAAAGCTTATTGTAGTGTTATGGTTTTGGAAACGCTTGCTTTCCAAAAATGTTTTCCCTCAAATAGTTTCCTAGCAGTTTGACAAAAATAAAATAAGATTCCTGACCGCCTGAACCCATCTTCTCAAATTGGGATGTCCTCATTTTTAGCACACAATATTGCCGCCATCTTAATTTATACTCACAGGGAGAAAACAAGACTGTCTGTTTGACTGTGTGTGTTAGTGGTGATACGGAGCAGGCAAGCCCTGCTAACCGCTTCCAATATTTTGGATGTTCAATGAGTAATAGCAACTTACTCATAGCCTCATTTTCTGCAAAGGGGACAGGCTTCATGTGCCAGGAATCCCTTATTATTTTTGTCAGGTCGCGTGGGGAGTCTGTGTCCAATACTATTATTGTGATGTACTTCTGCTATTTGGTTTCAGCTGATACATATTGAAAGCTTTGGAAAGAGGACTGAAAAGTGAAAGTATACAGGACTTGCTGCTGGGGCACAAAATGGATCTCTTCAGAGATAAAACAGTTACAATGTAATAACCAGAAAATCTTAATAAGTAGAAGTAAACCCAATTTCTGGTAACTCTTAATGGGCAGAAATCTCAAATGAAATAAACCCACTTTAACTGAATTTAAAAATGCTCTGTCTCTTGGTCCAACCTGTTTTATATTCATAATTTTTAAAGGGACACTGTAGGCACCCAGACCACTTCAGTGAAGTGGTCTGGGTGCCATGTTCCAGGTCCCTTAACCCTTCACTGGTAATTATTGCAGTTTCTAAGAAACTGCAATAATTACTTCTGAGGGTTAAATCAGAAGTACTGAGGGTTAAATCCTCCTCTAGTGGCTGTCTACCAGACAACCACAAGAGGGGACTTCTGGAATTTAAGATTTTTCCCCATAGGAAAGCATTGCCACGCATGCCCCTTATGTCTCACCCACCGGCTGAAGTTAGCGTGGGCAGGGCCTGGCGCTGGATTCAAGTAAGTAACTGGCAGGGTTTTAACCCCTTGAGCCGCAAGGGAGGGGGGCATGGCAGGATTCTACAGTGCCAAGAAAACGAGTTTGTTTTCCTGGCTCTATAGAATCCCTTTAACTATTATTTCAGACCTGAGGAAGAGAGGAAAACATTTAAAAGCTTGTCTTTTATGAATTATGTTAGTCCAATTAGGTATAATTATAACGGTAGAATTGCATATTTCAATACTTTGGTATTTTGGCATCTTGTCTACTGGACTAAAATGGCTAATCCAATCTACACTAAAATTTTATGTGAATAAGGTCACTTCCAACAGGTGTCCTGCTTTTAAATCAGACCACAGCTGTTTAAATGTTGGCAATTATTACCATTTTTAATAACAATATTTACTTGTGGTGAGGCTGATTTTGTTTAGCCCCTTAAGGACACATGACATGTGTGACATGTCATGATTCCCTTTTATTCCAGAAGTTTGGTCATTAAGGGGTTAAAGAAAAGTTTGAGAGCTTTGGTGACACTCTATGCACCATAATCACTACAGCCCATTGTAATGGTTACAGTGCTAGCATAGCTGTGGTGCGGTCTCCCAGGTCCGTGACAAATTATTTTAATTAAAACCACTATAGGGATAGACTCGCCCATCCTCTTCTGATTTCATAACTCCCAATCAGGGAAGAATGCTAGCTCCTATTCACATAATTCTGGTTTTGCTCCACTGTTTTCTTCTATTCAACCAGAGTTACACCTCCACTCCTGTGCAGCAATTACATTTATATAACCATAACAGCCGTGGTTGTGGTATGTCGTAATCCATTTAAAAACAGCTAACAAATCAAAAGGGAATAGGTTTTTCCTCTTTATATATCAAATTTCAATTAGTTGGTATTATAGCCTATTCTTGCACATCCACCTTGGTTGTGATATTTATGTGTTTATGAAAACATTGCAGGGGTAAAATCGTTTTTTTACTGCATAACATGTATCTACTAAAGCGTGACTTGAAATGGTAAAATGACGGATTAGCAGACGAAGACCAAAATAGCTGAGTTGGAAAAACTTTGGGGAGACTGGTAAGCTTGGCCGAACATTTAAATGGAGGCAACATTATTGCTAATCAAGTTTCTACTGACCTATCAGCTTCCTGGATTGGTCACATTGTATTACAAAAACATGAACAAGTTTATTTAGTAAAATGATACCTCAAAGAAATTTAAAATTTAAGACCAAAGTAGCTGAAGTGAAAGCATAGCCGAATTAGAAAATTTTTCCAATTAGGCTATTTTGAAAAATAATTGTAAATTCACCTTGTATTCACACTTTTTATTGAGTAATCCTGTAAAGGGGTTAAATGTCTTACCTTTTACCCAGATTCAGTGATACAATTTGAGGCTTATACATTAAACAGTCATTTGTGGCAAATTTGTAACTGGCAACAGTTGGTTGATAGAAGATGAGGGTAGACATTCCAAACTAGGCGTATTTTTTTTTTTTACAATTTACCTGTTATGGCTTACAGTTTTAAAGTCCGTTTTCAAATTGCCACAGCTTATTTAAGTAAATGAACCCCATTGTCGTAGCTTTCACTTACAATCTTACCTGCCAAATGCTGATATCAATATATAGAGAGAATGCATAGTTAAAGTATATTCTTTAAAGTTTGTTTTTCTTCACAAGTTTATAACAGAATTAATAAAAAATAATTATGGTATATAAATTAAGTGCAGTATGAAAAATACTGCACTACATTTGTTTCTTATTTTGTCATTTAAAGAAATAATTTATAATTTTGTATTTCTTATTTTACTCAACCAAAAAAAAGTTGCATAGGTTAATACTCGTATAAAAATACACCTCTATAAACCCTTTTACCATCCCACCTTGATTATTGTAACCTTTAGATTTTTCCTTATCTCAGTTTTACTGCCTGTTTGTTTTCTGTATTTTGTATATCTGTAGGAGTTGCAGTTAGTGTCCATTTCTAACGCTCCCAGTCATTTCTGAGTTCCCGGTGCCATAAAATGTCTCCTGAACCACAGTGTGTCCACTGTTATGGTACCTTATCCGCTTTGCCATCCCTTAAAGCGGTATCACATACAAATGTTTAAATTGACAAAAAAAAAAAATTAGCTTCTTTAGGGTTTCTGCTATTTTTGTTATG